ACAATAGTGTTCTACCGTTGGTAAAATTTAGAGAAGATCTAGCTTTATCAATCTGTAAAATTGGTACTAATACCCCAAAACGTGGGCGCCCAACTAATGATGTGCAATAAGGTATTACAAATAAAGCTAAAATGGGCACTAAAATAGGACAATATGCACCACCAAAATATGTAAAGACTGATAGAACAGATCACTGGCCAGTAGATAATAGCAAGAGAACGATATGTAAGAAACCAGGTTGTAAAGGCTTTACTTTCATGATGTGTGGAAAATGTCAAGTTAATTTATGTTGTGGCAAAGGACATATTTCACTAAATGGCATAGGTACAACATAAAAATATTATTATAACTGTATCTCAATTTGTTATTTATACAATTTAGGTGTAGATAAGTAAATTCCAGGTTACTTATAATGCAAAAGGTATTATGTTTTATTATTTAAAAAAAAATATTATGTTTGTATTCTACAAAAGTAGGTTGGTAATTTGTTATCTATATTATTTAACTTGTTATATTTTGACAAGTCAGTCTATTCAATTTTTATTTTTTGTTTATACCTAAGAGCTTACAATTTTTTTATTATCAATCAATCAATAAATAATACAATTTCACATTAAATATGAGTATATTAAGATAATTCTAAATTTAATAAAATATAATTATGTCGTACGTCAATGAATAGTGTTGCTCCCAGGCAACAAAGTCAAAAAAATATTTTTATAGATACTTAAAACTAGGGACTGGTACCTTTTAGTTTTTACGGTTCCGGTACTTAATTATTTTATTAAGAGGTTCTGGTTCCGGTTTCGGTTTTTGAAAATTTTTGTTTAAGGGTTCTGGTTTTGAAAAATGAATTTAATAGTTTAAATTAGGGTTCTAGTTAAAACAAGTATTAAACGATTACAAAAATGTATATATTTTATTTATTCTTTAGTATCTTCAAATTAAATGTTTTATATACCTAGGTACATTAAAATATTTTAATTTTAAAATATGGGTTCCGGTTAGGTTTTGGTTCGGATAAAGTCCCTGCTTATTAAAATACCAAAAACATTTTTTAAACATTTTCCCCATAATTAGGGTTAAGATAGCGAATAAAAAAAAAAAACAAATTCATGCATTGTAGGATTAAGATGTTCGTAATTGCCTGGAGAAGATTGGAACGAAATATAATTTTAGGAAAATCCACCGGAAAAGTAGAAAGTTTGAATGTCAAAAAATACAATAGTGAATCTACAACAATCCAATCATTTTACTTGAGTTTTAAATGTTTACCATATCGCTATACTCCTTCTAATTTTTTCCATTTTTCAAAGTTGTGTCACACTGTTTTTGTCACTTTCATCATCTTTGAAACTGTGGTTCATGACCCTTTCTGGATACTTGCAACCACGTTTAGTAATAACTTTAATCCTTCCTGGGGAATCACTCAAGTTTGTTTCGTCATAGTTTAATATGTTAGATGGTGGAATATTATTTAGTGACTGTTCTAGATTATTAAAAATTCATTTAAATCTTCTCTGGATACTTGTGTCCGTGATCTTTTGATATTTTGGCAGAGCCATTGCGAAAGTGTTTCTCTAAGACGCCTTAAGAAACACACTGCAAATTCAACACCAGGCATATTATCTTAAAATTGTTTTATGATAGTACCTTTGCTGTCTAGGCAAGATTTTACAATTATTCTTAAATCGAATGTCGTTAAAGGATAACCCAATGCTGAACATGTTATTAGACTTTCAACAATTAATTGTTCTACTTTTTAGATAAATAGTTTGGCCGCCTTGTGGTTTCATATTTTTACCAGTGTTTAGTTCTTTAAATTTTTTATGCCTGTGCAAAACTGTCATACATGTTAAAGCAAACAAATTCCAACACAAACATCTCGATTTAGTTGATACAAATACGAATAATTTGAATGATTGGATCAAAGCAAAGTCATTTGGTACATTAACTCAACAATCAACTAAAAGAAGATCTGTATAAAGGAGGGATACTCGAAGATGACATAAATATTGAAAATATAACTGAGTCAAACAAGGAAGACGTAAGACCAATTATAACAAAAAGCGAATTCGTTAAGGCTCTAAGGGATGTAAAACAAGGAAAAGCGACAGGAGTAGATAACATCCCGGCAGAATTATTAAAAAACGTTGGAAAGGATACCGAACATAAGATTTTCGAAATGATTAAGAAAATGTATAGGGATGGAAACATTCCGAAGGACTTTGCCAAAAGCAAAATTGTACTAATCCCTAAAAAGGGAAATCCCACAGAACGCAAGAATTACAGAACAATAAGTTTATTAACACACGTGTCAAAGATACTTCTTATCATTATAAAAAATAGGATTCAAAATAAAATCGAAAAAGAGCTTGATGAAGATCAATTTGGGTTTAGACAGGGAATTGGTACAAGAGAGGCAATTCTAGCTTTAAGGGTACTTACAGAAAGAAGGCTAAATGTAAACAGAAATACATTTATAACTTTCATTGACCTAGAAAAAGCTTTTGACAATGTCAACTGGGCGCTATTGATGAACTCTATGAAGAAAACACGAATAGACTGGAGGGATAGACGAATAATAATGTCACTATACAAAGAACAGCAGACCTTAATAGAGGTAGGAGAACATAGTACTATAGCAAAAATTAAAAGAGGGATAAGACAAGGTTGTTCCTTATCTCCCTATTTATTCAATCTATTCGTGGTAGAAATCATGGACACGTATAAAAGAAACTCTAATGGAATAAGCATAAATGGAGAAAAGGTCCACTGCATACGATTTGCTGACGATATTGCTTTAGTATGAGAAACAGAAAAAGACATGCAAAAACCTTTAACCACCCTGACAAAAATATTACAGGAATATCAAATGAAAATCAATGCAAATAAAACAAAAACAATGGTGGTCACTAAAGCAAAATAAATTCCCGTAGTAAAGTTGGAAGTGAATAATAACTTAATAGAACGAGTCCAACAATTTAAGTATCTAGGAAGGACGATTACAAATGATGGTAAATGCTCAACAGAAATCAGACAAAGAATAGCTATGGCAAAGAGGGCATTACGCAAAAACGGCAGCTACTTACAAACAAAAAACTCAATATAAATATGAGAAAAAATTTTGCTAAATATTATGTATGGAGTGTATTATTGTATGGCTGCGAAACATGGACTATTAATGGGCAAGACAAAAAGAAGTTGGAAGCCATGGAAATGTGGATATGGAGAAGACTATTAAAAATCAGTTGGACAGAAAGAAAAAGTAACGTAGATGTATTAAACCAAATAGGAGAAAAAAGAATTGTATTAAACACCATAAAAGAAGGAAGTTGTAAAATGTTCGGTAATTTACTTAGGCATAATTTGTTTATGATAAATATATTTGAGGGACGAATAAATGGTTTCAAAGGAAGAGGCAGACCGAGGAAAGCATACTTAGAAGAAATGAATAATGATAAAAAAAGCTGGCTGTAGTTGATATATAGAAATGAAAAGATTGGCTTCTAATAGAGAAGAATGGCGTACCAGATTTGCAACGACAAGGCAAGGCCTTTAGTAAACAAGAAGAAGAAGAGGAAGAATTATTGAAGGTTTATTTAAAAAAAATGAATGGAAAAGGTAATACCATCATAACATTTTCGTATAAGACAAAGACACTTAATAAAAGTATTTGTATTTTTTAGAGGACATTAAAAAAACAGCAGGACTTATAGCCGAATTAAGGACAATGACAAAAGATACATGTCGACAATCTGACCCGGTACGCAGCGGCCAGTGTTGCCGATATCCAAATTTAAAATTACCACTTTACGATGGTGAAATTACCACAATTACCACATTGGCAATTCTAAATTACCATCATAAATACCACATAAAAAAAAAAGTAAATTTCACAATATTCCATAATTAATAAACTTTATTTTAATTAGGAATAAATAAACAAAAGCAATATAATAAAAAATATAAAAAACAAATTAAGGTTACTTATAAGAACAATTTTAGGAAAATATGTTATCACATTATTTATGCTATCACAATATATAGTAATTATTATAACTTATGAATTCATGACAATAGAAATTCAATTTTTAGTAATATAAACAAACTATTTTAGCATACTGATAACTAATAAGCCTTTACAATAAATAAAAACCTCACAAATACAATATAATTATAATAATAATAAATAAGCTGAACAAATTATAATAAATCAAATTATTTATGTAAATAAATAAAAATTAATCCCAAATATTGCTTTTGATCATATTATCAGATGGTTTAAAAGAAACACAATATGTAAATGAGTGTTTAGTTCTAAGTAGCCCAACTAATGAGGCAGTACACATTTTTTTGCGTTGCAAAGTCTTAATATTTTTAAGGTCACTAAATAAACTTTCAACAGATGCATTTGAACACGGTAAAACCAATAAGAGTCTCATCATTATGGAAATATTAGGAAAAGATGTTACACCGATGGCATTTTTTAAAAGAAAAACCTTTCTCCAAAATTCCATTATGTTGTTTATGTTAATATTTAATGGTTCTAGAGTGCTAACTCTCCATTCTGTATCCAACTCTTGAGTAATACTAATATATTCATTTAATATAGGAAAACGGTTTAATTAGAGATGGAGAATTTACGTAAAACAAAAATATAGGTAAATTTACCAATAATTTAGTAAAAATGGTAAAATAGGTAAATCTTAGAGCCATTGTTATTTTTTACTATTAGATATTAGTAAATACGATTTGTACTAGGTACTAATGTTGTATACCTACTTGTTAAATCTAGTTCTTTCCAATAATAACAATAATTAACACATCAGCATTAATTGATGTCAGAATGTATTTAATGGTTACTTTAATTGGATTTAGATCATTTGAGTAAAATACACACAAACTACCATATCATTATCAATCAAGTTTCAAATAATCTAACTCCAACAAGGCATTGAGAAACAAATTTTTGGCGAATTCTCAAAATCTTCTTCAAAATGAAAAATGCTACTAAGCAATATGATCTAGGTCTAATTACTTTATGGCAATTTTTACAATGCTGTTCTTATTTAAGTGCTGCTTACGAAGAGAGACAAAGGCTCTGGGCTCTTCGAAATAATGAAAGTGACGATGAAATTCCTAACATAGATCTTGATGATGAGAAACTAGTACTGGCGCCAATAGAAAATATTCTACCGTTGGGAGTTGCCAATAATGAACCAGCACCAGTGTTTAGTGTGCATGACAGCGACGACCATCAACAGTTCAGAACAGTTTATTATTTTACCATGTGGCATGGTTGTGTGTGTGGTTAGTTTGGAATGCCCCGACAGTGTATGCCCCATGTGTCGAACCGCACATGTGACATTTCAAAGAATTTATTTTGCATAAATATTCAATATATCAGTATACAGTCCGAGGAGCGACGACTTATAAACTTTTTAAATTGTTATTCTTTTCTATTACCATCACTGTCAATAAACAAAAACCAGTTCTGTAATATTGTACATAAGATATCATTTAGTAAATTATATTGATATAGGTACTAGGTATTTATTGAGTCATAAGTGGTAAGTACTGTTGCAGTGTTGCGCACTCAGCGTTCGGCATTGTTAAGACCTATTTTTATTTATCAAACAGTTATAGTAAGGCATTTTAAATTGAGTTCTTACACCATGGTGGCTACTGGTTTGTAATAATAATATAACAAATAATTTAAGGATATATTAATTAAATTTAAATTAATATAATTTAAACTATGACATGTCTTATCTTTGAAGTCATTTTTTGTAGTACCTATTTTATAAATTACTTTTGTGTTAGTGTTATTAATTATTATATTATTATGCTACGAAGAGCATTGACAATAATAAATAATGGAATATAGGATATTGCACTACTACTAAATAGTAAAACTGTACATTGATGTAATTTTAACTGTGACTTACATAGGTACTATTAAAACATATATTTGTTATAATTAAATAAAATATTATTACTATTATTCATATTAGGTATATTACAGACTAAAGTGTTACAACATGTCAGAATACAGCATTGGAGTTTATTTCTTAAACTTATTTTGATTGCCGCTTGGTTATGATGGGCATGCTTGAAATTCTAAATATTATTATAGAAATTAAAAAGTAGGTACTGTATTTTTGGCTTCATCTAAAATGTGTAGTTTGTTATAGGTATCTAAAACTATTAAACACTCAATTTTATATTTATCTATAGGTCTATAGACTCTAGTGATGTTTAATTTTAAGATATTAACATTTCATAAATATTGTGTAAACTAAAACAATATATTATCTATTAAGTATCAGTAGACTACTAGACTCTAATCAGAGGCAAGATGATGGAGGATTTTCTGCTGGCATGGCCTAACTGACTATAAGAAACTAAGTTTTTGGTTAAATCTTACATAAAAAAATCCTAAATAAAAATTCCCGACATGATTAACAGTGTAATTCAAATAAAATGTATTGATATGTACAGCGCCGGATCATAGCTTTTTAACACCCGGGGAAAATTAAAAAAATACGCCCATCTCAGGGAGATGACCAGACTTAGTATTTTTTTTACGAAAAATCAAGCACACTCACACAGTATTGCGAGGAACTGAGGACCAACATTTACAAAACCTTTCCAAATATACTGCAGGACCAATCATTTATTTGCCACAAATAATTTGAACGATTTTAACTTAAAAATGAAACATTTTAAATTTTAAACTATTCACGTAATATAGTTTTAGAAGCACTTCTTATGCCCGGTTTCACCACGTAGGAGTTAAAGTTTAGATTAGTTAACTCCGAGTTATCCATTAACCCAGGGTTATAATTTTTTCAGTTTCACCACGGGTTTATAGGTGAGAGTTAGTTAATCTGAGGTTAGATTACGATTGGCCCATAAATTGGCCTGTTCCGGAGGCCTTTAATGATAACATTTATTTTTCACTGATAACAGTGTTAATAGACCTGATAAAGTTGTTAGATTACCGTTCTTTTTTCAAATTTATTTGCGTTTTCTATTTTTGTAATTCGTTAATTAATTAAGTTCTTTTGTCGTTTGTCGTGTTCTATTGTGCTTTGTTTTTTCCGATACTGCCAATTTTAATATGGACACAAAACGCAAAAGAAATGTTAATTTTTGTAAAACAGAGGAAGAATTGCTTGTTGAACTGGTTAAGAAATACGAACAAGTAATTGAAAATAAAAAAACTGATGCTGTGATGTGGAAGGAAAAAGAGTCGTGTTGGACTGAACTTGCTGCAGAGTTCAACAGCGTCGGTTTATTAGTGCCAAGGACTGTTGTACAATTACAGCTGAAGTACAAAAATTTAAAAAAAGTTGTACGTAAAAAAAGTGCGACAATAAGGTAAGTACAATTGATATTTATGTCGTGACGATTCACATCTATTTTCATTTTTGTAAATTTTCTTCTGTCATATTAAAGATTATAAGGTCTAAAGACAGGTGGTGGAAAAAACCAGGCTCAAGCCCTTGATGATGTTGAGGAAAAAATAAAGAGCATTATCCAACTGTCTGTCGATGGCATGGCTTCTGTTTTTGATACTGATAATGACAATGATGTAATAGGTAATATTATATTATGTAGTTATGGTGACCATAGGTTTCTATTTTAAAAAAGGTTGTTATATTAAATTAAATAGGAAGAATTATATAGTTTTCATGATCCATTTTGACTGTTTTTTAGACGCTGTAATGGTTGAACACAAAGAACATGATGATGATGATTGCTACGTTACTGGTAATTTTATGTTTCAAAATATAACAGTTACAATTGTGTTTTGTTAAATAGAATATAAATATTATTTTTTTTTTAGTTATGCCTGATGATTTTGATAACCCAGAACCAGAGTCAACTACAGTTTTATATAGTACACATACGGAATTGTGGAATGATCAAGGTATATATGAATTATATATTTGACAATAATATAAATTTTAAAATGTAACCTTCTTTAAGGTGCAAGTACCAGTAAAGACCAGGAATTGAATGTTATAACACCTCACAATTTTTCATCTAATGTCAAACAGACGGAATTGTGGAGTGATCAAGGTATATATGAATTATATATTTGACAATAATATAAATTTTAAAACGTAACCTTCTTTAAGATGCAAGTACCAGTAAAGACCAGGAATTGAATGTTATAACACCTCACAATTTTTCATCTAATGTCAAACAGACGGAATTGTGGAGTGATCAAGGTATATAATATGAATTATATATTTGACAATAATATAAATTTTAAAATGTAACCTTCTTTAAGGTGCAAGTACCAGTAAAGACCATGAATTGAATGTTATAACACCTCACAATTTTACATCTAATGTCAAACAGACGGAATTGTGGAGTGATCAAGGTATATATGAATTATATATTTGACAATAATATAAATTTTAAAATGTAACTTTCTTTAAGGTGCAAGTAGCAGTAAAAAACTACAATGGAATGTTGTTACACCTTAAAATTTAAAATGCAAGAAAAGCACTCCTCTCAGAAGCAATAGTGAGTTAGCAAGTTCAAATTCTGAAATAATTTTGTATAATACTATTTTACATACCTAATAAATTTTCAGACAAACGTCTCAAAAGTAGGACTGCAGAGGCAACAAAATTATTAAATCATAAAGATCAGCTAACCGAATTGCAGATTAAATGTTTAGAGCAGGAGTTTGAAATAAATGAAGTCAAAAAGAGGAATGTTATTTTGGAAGAACAAACATTAAAACTAGAAATAGAAAAAATGTTGTTGGAAATAGAAGTACTTAAAAAAAAAATTAAAGACCCATAATAACTATTAATAAAAATAATAAATACATATTTACAATGAATCTTAATGTTTATTTATTTATTTAATAATAATATAAGACCAACTTCACTCTAAATTGCTAAAGTGATCCCTGATCAGACGATCTCGTTCTTGTCTGCCTCTCGTAACCCCTATTAAATTTGGAAGGTTAGCTTCTGCAATATTCTCAATATCGTAGCCCTCTTGCAGGATGTCATTTGGAAGTTCATCGTGCAGGTCAATACAAATGTTATGGATAATAGCACATGACACAATTATTGCTTGTGTATTAATTAGACTAGTTGTTATTCCTTTGCTCAGCACAGGAAACCTTCTTTTAAGAACACCAAAACATCTGCAAAATTATAACAAAATAACTCTAAATTAGAATTCAGTTCTAAAAAAATATTCAGTGATAATTTTGCTTGCCATTTGAATTCAAAGACAATGAGTGTGGCTTTTATAGTATCATGATTGAAGCTAGGTATGTAAGGGTCAGTTTGGTGGCGTAAAATAGATAGGTATTCAAAGTCGTCTCGGTGGAAACCTAATAAATAATAATTAATAAACTTGATAATCAATGAAAATCAGTTTTAAAAATTGAAATCCGTCAAAGCAGATTCCTTCAGTTTTGTCTGGCTTTTTATTCTAAAATCACTTTTTTTCATCGACTGAACCCCCTTATGTAAGTAAAGACATTTATTTAAAAACTAGCACTCCTACATTTAAAAAAAATATAAGAAATTATTTAAGTTATGATGTACATTTATATAATATAAGTATAATTTTTACCTGGATGATTAAAAATTATTTTTTAAATAATTCTGTTTAGTACCTATTATTAAAATAAAAGTATTTTAGAATATAAACGAAACCTAGCTGTTGAGCTATTTTAATACAAACTAATAATTATTGAACCTAGCTATGTAAGATTAACATGTTAATGATTCCTTATTTATTATAATTATTTAATTTCTTCACAAAAAAAAAATGTGAAATTTAAAATTTACTGTCAAAAGGAACTAAAAGTTAGGTGCATACATTTTACATACAAGTTGAAACTTTTTTTACATTTTAAATTCTGTATTATACTATTTTAATACATTAAAAAAAAATGTATTTTCAAAACAGAGATAAGAAAGAATTGTTTGCATAAAAGTAATAAATTTAAAATGATGATGCCTTTGTTTGTATATATTTCATTTTAATATTCACCTTTCAATAACATTCCTTGTCCTGATTTGGCTTTCATTGTACAACTGCTGGCTCCGTGTGGTAGGGTTCAGCAGAGGAGTCATTAGGTAAGGCTTAACTTCGTAACCACCGTCTCCTAATAGGTATCCTTTTAAAATTCCAGTTTCAAATTTACTTTTGATTAAAGAGTTATCAAAAATAATCTGATCATGGCAAGACCCTGGCCATCGCGCCACTATATCCATAATTTTAAGCCACGGATTACAAATACATTGTGTATTAATAGAAAAATAACCTTTCCTGTTTCGAAATGTTTCAGCATTATCTCCACCTACAATATTCATGACAAACCATAGTTTAAACATACAGGACACATTAATGACAATATAATTTATGACAACATATATATTTTATAATTTTATAAGTTATTTGCCTACCTGGTGATTGAATTTTGATGTGAGTGCAATCCACAGCTCCTACCACTCTAGGGAACCTACTACAGTTGTAAAATCCACTAACAACTTTTCTCATGTCAACAGCATTTTTTGGAAAATAAATGTATTTTGATCTATGCCTTGCTATGGCTCTACAAACTTGATGAATGTATCGACAAGCCGAGGATTCGCTGACACCAGTAAAGTCTGCGACAGTTAATAAAAATGATCCTGTTGCAAGGTATCTCAGCATCATGTATAATTTACATGGTGCTAATATAGCTCTGTTCCTGAAACAAAACATAATATCTTAGGTGCAAGAAAAGAAAATTTAAGAATAGACAAGATTGTTTTTTGATAGCAACTATATTTAACTGTAATTAAAAGTTACTAACCTTTGAGAAGGTGGAGATATATCTGCTTCTATCAATCTCAATAGTGTGCGAAACGTTTCTTTAGAAGTTCGAAATCTGCTTATAAAGTCATGGTTGTCATACAATTCCAAGTAGTTTACTCGTTCATAAAAAATTCGTGGGCGTTGTTGCAATGCAATAACCGCTTCGTCAATCTCGTCATCCTCATAATAATCAAATAATATTCTGTGATTCATATTTAACAAAAAAGTTGGCCGGTTAAAAATCAAGTTTATGAACACGATAAAACATCGACGAGACAAAAATTGATGTAACATCGACAAAACAAAAAAAAATACCTAACCTATAACATTGATAACCTAGAGTTAGCTCGTTATTACCTAGAAATATCAGGAGTTAAAATCCAAGAGTCAAGAATTACATTAACCAGGAGTTATCACATAACTCTAGGTCGTGAAATTACTTTTTTGTGCTAACTTCGAGTTACCGGTAACTCACACTTTAACTCTACATGGTGAAACCGGGCATTAATGGTGTATTTAAAGCTAAAATCTGTGGTCAATATTTCTAAGTTCCAGGTTTAGAATAATTAATATTGATAATAATAACATGTATGAATTATTTATTAACAAATCTAAATTAGGTATCCATTGCTTACTTTTAATATAGGACGCTTTATGTAAAAGAACAATATTTAATTTACAACATACCCAGTGGCGTAGGCAAGGGGGGGACGTGGGGGTCAGATCCCCCCCCATTAGATTTATTTTTTGTTTTTGCATACATTATGTAGTATGCACTATTAAAAAAAAAAATATAATGTAATATTTTGTTATATTATGATTTTTCGAGCTATTGAATTTTGAAAGTTTTTTCAAAATACTGAATACAATTATTATTTTATTTTCGTTTATTTATAGCAAAGTAAATAGTAAGATTTGTTTGGTCGAAATGGTCGATGACGATTATAAAATGTGTTTAAAATATTGTCGGATATTATCGGATATTATTGTTATTAACTATTAAGTTATGAGAAATTATTATCGCTGCATTATCGGCGTCTACGGGTCTACGGGTTTAGTTTACTGCGTATACATACAACTAATTTATCTGAAATCTAAAAAAGAAACACTCACGGGATTATTGTCAATTTATCGCATCTATCGATTATGGAGAAACGTAGTTCATAATTGTACCAGCATTTACAAAATCGGCAGTGCTGTACTGCTGTCAGACATCTGTGCAACTGCAACGTTATTTCGTATATCGAGTATAAAACTGTATAAAAGTAGAAAACACTGTTATAACTTATAATATTAGTTATTACTATTATATATTATTTTATATTACAATTACTCAAATTTTTAAATATGAATAATAAAAGAAAAAATAATAGTCTACTTTCATATTTCAATAAAAGTACGAAGTCAGTTGTTAATTCAGATCCGGATGAACCACAACCTGCACCAAGTCAACCAAAAGATACAAAAAATGTAGATTTGGTGAGTAAAAATAGCATATTTGACTATCTGATTTATCTAAGTCTTTTAGTTTTTGCTTTATGGGTTTCTATAAACAATACTATGTCATCATTTTTTTTTAAGATGGAATGTTCTATTGCAAGGAAAGATGATATTTATTTGTTTGTTAATTGTGATTTAAGTGATACTGACAAAAACCTAGTAAGTTATTTAATTAAATACAAATAGAATTGTACTATAATATTATATAATATGAAAATGAATCATTTTTTTAAATCAACAAAATAAAAAGTACATTTATTTATAGATTCTGACGGATGTGTGGGTTCCATCAGAAACGTATATATTTCCTATATTAGAGAAAAATAAGGGTAGGAATCTCAAATTTCAACACCATTGGTTGAAAATGTTCAAGTGGTTAGCATATTCAGAGACTAGACAAGGAGGTTTTTGTAAAGTATGTTTGGTATTTCCAAGAACTGGTGGAATTGGATGTCAAAAATTACATACGCTTGTGATTAAACCAATGGATAGCTTTAAAAAAGCATTAGAAGTATGTCTATAAAGTTAAGTTTATAGAAATATTTCTATTACAGCAGAAGAAGTTTTAGATGAACTAGCAAAAAAAAAAAAGAGAAAACTAGATTTGTTAATTTAATTATTATTAATTTTATTTATACATTTAATGATGTAGCATTTTGTAATATAGAAGTTTTGACTTAATGGAATATGGAGTATTGGAGTGGATAATCTTCCATATTGTATTTAATGTGAATTTTGAATCAATTCAAATTATATTCATTGTTCCTTATTGTTAAATATTTAATAGGTACCTACCTAAGAAAAAAGTTTTGAGAGGGTGGGGGATTTTCCAATTTTCACCTCCATTTAGCTGCTTGTTTTTTTTTTTTGATCCCCCCCCCTTTCAGAAATCATGTCTACGCCACTGAACATACCTATCAATATTATACATTTTCATTTTTAATATTTGTTACAATCAAAAATTAATAATATGTACCTAGGTACGGAATAAATACAATGAAACAAAAATGTAATTATGTACTGAAAATTCAAAATTGTAATTTTGAGACAGAGAAATATTTATCATGGATTATCACTTACGGATTGAATGCACCTATATACTAAAATAGGTAGGTAACTACATTCTACATTTTAGAATAATAAGGACCTGGTTGTCTATTTGACATCTTGAACTATAAAAATAATTTAGACAAAAAACTCAGTTTATAATAAAAAAAAAAAAATGAACCAAATAGAATATAAATTTCCTTTTAAATTGTTTTAATATAATATGTAAAACATAATATTCAATCTGTCTTGGGCTACAATCAATAGGATAGTATTTTTGTTTTAATTATTTAATTATGTTGTACTTTTGTAGTATCAAGTTTATCAAGTAAATTAATAGTTGTATACTTGTACCCATTTAAAAAGCAAACACAAATGACAAATTATATTCCATTTTGTGTTCTGTTTCATTTATCTAGTGGCCATGGTGATAGGTATTTATAAAAAAAGTTCAGTTTATAAAAAGGCATTAATTGTTAAATACAAAGACTTTTATAAGTCTAGGTATGAACATGTAATTTAATAAATAATCTGAAAACAATTAAATCATTAGTACCTAAGTAAAATTTTATGTAGTACATAATTTTATGCAGTACCTACCTAGGTACCTATTTGGAAAAATATATAGTTGTTAATTTAAAATCACACAACAATGAATTACAATTAATAGTGCGATTTTTAAGATTAAGGTTTTAAACCTACATAATATTATATTATATGCAAGATGTCCTTTTTAATATTTAAATCAATGTTATTAGTTATTACTAATCTCGATAAAAAATAAAATTATTTTATTTTATTCCCATACCCAATATTACACATTTCCTGTGAAATATAATTTTGTACTTAGTTTTGACTTTTGTTTTAAAGTCCATTTTCAATTTTCAATTTACAAAATATTTAAAACCTTAAAAATACGCCCATGAAAATTATCCGCCCTGGGATAAATCCCCGACTTCCCCCCCTAGATCCGGCCCTGGATATGTAATAGGTATACTATCTACCTATATAATATTATATATATTACTAGATTATAATATACATTATAGTGGATAGAGTCATACATAAGTATTTTGTAAGTATTGATTAATATAATTATATTAACTATATTCTAAGATATAATAAACCGTAGGTATTGCGTATGCGTACATATTGCTGGAAATAAAATTGTATACTAACTCAGTGCTTCTCAACCTGGGGGCCGTGGCTATATGACTGGGTTGCCTTGAAATATTTATTTAATTTAAAATATTTCCGATTATTTAGTTATTATATAAATAAAACATTATAACCTATACATTATACATATTATAACCGACCATATGATTAATCATTATTTACTACATCGGGAAAGTTTATCTTACATTAGAGTTATTAGATTACTGATTAAAGTATAATAACAATAATAATAATCTATTAAACTATCGAAAATGATGATTATCATTGTAGATTACATTGTAATGCCTTAGCGGCTTAGCAGTACAGTCTTATAGTTGTTCAGTCAAGTATCTTTGCTCTCTATAGTGCGTATCGTGTGGACGTGTGGTGTTAAATACTATTTTAAGTTTAAAATGGAAAAGTGGTTAAAAGGGAATGAAAAATCAGATACTTCTACTTCAACTAGTAGCATATTAATTCCAGAAACAGATACTTCTAGTTCGACAACCAGCAAAAGAAAAAATGAATTTTTACCTCCAAACAATATTACCTGCAGCAATAAAAATATGTGAAATTGTACACGGTGATAAAATTGCAGACGCATTGCGGTCCATCCCTGTTTCTAATGATACTATTAAAATAAGAATAGACTGTATGGGGGATTATATGAAATCACAATTATTAATTCAAATTAAAAGTAGTGACACTTTTGCAATACAACTTGATGAATCGACCGATCTTACAAATGGTAAGTTAATGGTATTTGTGAGATATCAATATAATCTAAAAATAAATGAAGATTTACTCTTTTGTGAAACTCTTTCCGAGACAACAAAAGGCATAGATATATTTAAAAAAGTAAATGATTTTTTTCTTATAAACGAACTAGACTGGTCCAAATGTGTTGGTGTATGTACAGATGGAGAAGCAGCAATGACTGGTAGAATAACAGGGTTTAAAGCAGAAGTGATGAGACCTGATATAAGATTTGTTCATTGCATTATATATCAGGAACATTTAACTTTTCGAAAAATTGGTTGTGAACTGAATTCAATTATGAATGACGTAGTATCAATGGTAAATTTCGTCAAAACCCGAGCCCTAAGTTCTCGACTTTTTAAAATTGAATGCGAAGATATGGGATCCAACCATAATTCATTACTATTCCATACTGACGTTCGTTGGCTATCCCGTGGGAAAGTTTTGAAAAGAGTTATAGAACTAAGCGTGAGCTCTGTATATTTCTTCGTGATATTAAACCAGATTTATCTGCACTTTTAAGTAATGAAAAATGGATGTGCTTAACTTCATATTAAGCAAATTTTTTCGATAAAGTTAATGAATTAAATCTATCTCTTCAAGGTAAAAATACCAACATTTTAATACTTACCGCAAAACTTCAAGCCTTTAATCAAAAATTGTCTTCTTGGTTAAACGCATTTAAAAATGGAGATTCCTCAATGTTTACGAGTTTATATGATTTTCTTACCGTAAATGAGCTTTCAGTGACAACTTCAGTTTCAAGTGTAATAACTGATCATTTGTCTTCAATGCTAAAATTTTTATCTGCATATTTTCTAAATTTAAATAAAAATAACGAACACGATTATGTAAAAAGATTTTCTATTTCTTTGAAACACGATCATATTTCATGGGCCGCAAGAAAGCAATTAATTGAAATTAGAAAAGACTCAAATCTTGAAGCCGAATTTAATGAAAAAGAACTAACTAAATTTTGGTTAAGACCATAACAAAAAAAAAAGGTATGTCAGCAATATATTTGATACTCATAGCATGGCGGTCAGCTTGCGCCTATTAGCAATTTTTCTCTTATCATAATATAATGTAAATTGTAAACGAGGTTAGTTAGTTAGTTTCTAATAATCTTGAATTTATTGTAAATACGTTCGACGTCGTTCTGAGCCCTGAAAAATAATTTCTGATTTTTTGAAATATGGGAATTTTTATTTAATTTTATATATTTGTTTTGTAAAAATAAAACTAAATAGACAGGTAGTTAAGTTACTGGTCACATGTAATGGTGAAATGATAGTAGGTAATACATTCATATTAATATATTATTATTCATTATTATATTTGTAATTTTTATTTGTAAATAATATATGTAGTACATTCAAATTGTATCATTTTATTAATTTTTTTATTTTTTTTTTTATCTCTTGTTTGAAATTGTTGGTCTATGATTTATCTATTTAAATTGTTGAGGTAAATGTATGTACGAGTTCGGACTAAACATTGAACAACCTCTGTTGGGATATTAAGATGTTCAATGTGTGGTGTCAGTGTATTGGTAAGATTTTTAAATATTTGTTTTTCATTTGACAGACCGTCTCTATGCAAGTTTTTGAAATATTTTTCCATTATTTGTACTGCTTGGAAAAGATTATCGGATGGAGTCTTAAGATTGCCTTTACTAACAAAGTCTATCCAATTTGGATTTTTCGGTGACTTAGGACTCCCAACTAATTCGGGATACCTGGTAGAAAATCGACTTGCAACATATCCAGCTACTGTGCGATCTCTGCTTCTATCTGGTTAACTTCCATCTGAAATAATAATCAGTAGGTATTTTTAAAAATTTTACTTTTTAAAATATGCATTACAACGTTTTTTTTTTTTTTTATTTATATTTACCACAAACTGTTGTAGAAGATCATGAAGCTTTTGTGGAACGCCCATATCTACTACACCTATGCTGTATTGGATTTTAGCTGTATCTTGTGTGTCTTCATTCAATTTAGAACTTTGTATCATCTCCTGTGTGAGGGTTTGGCAATCATCTAATTCTAGTAAATTAGATTCTGAGCTTTCTTCTACATTAGTGTTATTGGTAAATATAACATCGGAATGTTTACCAAGTATAAACCACCTTAGACTATAGAATTATGTTTTATATTTTATTAGATAAACATAAATTACATTATAACCATTAATGTTCTAAGTTATCGAAATTTAATACCAGTATTTAAAGTCTAGTGCTGTCATGTTACCACTTGCACTTCCGCCCATCCCTTTTAAAAAACTAAATAGATGTTCCAAAACGTCTTGGTTCAATTTTCGAGTTAATTTGTAATCAAGCCCGTGATATTTTTGTAAATCGAGGAATACATTTTTCAGAGACAAATTGCATATTAAAATTCCTTTATTAAAAGAAACCATACATATTAATATATCAATAATGGTTACAAAATTAATAGTCAATTTTACCTTTCTGGAAAGTTTTTTATTTTCCTCCAGATTTAAAATTATGTACCCTCATGTTTTGTATGAAACTACTCATTTCATCTAGGACATCATTTTGACTGTTCAAATTCAATCCATTGCTTTCCACGCCTTTGTCAAATTTTTGATTTGTATTGAAAAAGTCAAACCATTTATTAAATAATGATATCATTTCAGCTGCCTGTTTTGTAAATATATTATATGGATATTAAGAACTTTTAATTCATATTAATTGTAGTTAACATTTTATTTATTGTTATTTCAACTTGCATTTTTCCAATCGTACTATTCTATATATTTTTTTTCACCATAATAGGCGATTGCTTTTGATACGGAATTAGAAAGCAACTGTACTACCAGCCTGACATTCATACGCCCTGGTCAATTTACTAAAATATGCCTTTCAGAAATTTTATGCGCTAATCTATAGTCATGTTTTGAATCTAAATTAATAAGCTCCTGAAATATATTTTTTCCAACAAATGTGCCATTTGGTAGAATAAATCCTCTATAAAGATTGGACTATTAGTCATAAAAACATAAGTTGAAAACAATGATCTGAAAATACATGGATCTGTCTTTTACTACACGGATGCTCAAATGAAGTTTTCTCTATTGACATGTTTAAATCTCTCCATAAACACATACTTTTTGGCCCCATATCATTTACCATAGCAATTGTTTCATATCCAACATTGTACAACTCTTTTATGATATTTAACAACAAGGTCTTTTGTCATGGCCGTATTAAAGTTATAGTAAATTGGTTGTTTCCAATAACTAACAAGACATTTAAAAAATAATTTATAATATATTATAGAAAATTAATTATTTTAGTCTTAAAAAAAAACATTATCAAAGTAGGATTTTTTTTTGTCAGTACCTCGAGAAGGTAGATTCCACCGATAGACGGTACCTAGACGGTAACTAAAATAAAGATCACTATATCTTTGTCCAGTTACGAGGTACCTGAAATAAAAAATTAACAAATTAAGAATTTTACAGAAAGGAATGTACAATTAATAATGCGGTGGAAGACGGCACGGGATGTTTACATTAGGTGCAGATCTACATTGAAGAACACGAAGTCTGGGTCTGCAGGTGGAAAAAAAAGAAATATATATACTTTGATTGTATGCAGTTTTTAGACGAAAAACATATAATAGATACTGAGGATTCAATTGTAGAAAGTCCGAACACAATGGATGAATCACTAACAAATAGCAAACCGACAAACAATGATGACGCTCTGCCTTCAACGTCTTAAGACTCCAACTTTTGCCAACCAGAACAAACTGCTGCTGCTAAACCAAAAAATGTGCAAGAAAAACGTTTTAAAAAAAGAACTCGTAATGAAGACGATAATTTTGATAGAGAAATGTTGAACATGTTTAAAGAAAATTCAAAATTAATGCAAAACGATGACATGTCATTTTTTTGTTTACTTTTGCCGATTATGAAAACTTTTTCTAATCACCAAAAATTACTTTTCCGTTCTGCAGTTCTACAAAAAGCAATCGAAATATCCAGCAGTTCTAGTGAAGTCCGCCCGGGAACATCACATACATTTTCGATTTCAGAATCACAACATTCCGATGCTTCTACATATCATATAACTGAATCTTATACAGAAGTACCACAACAGTATGAGGCACCAGATTATGATTCAACATATTCTTTAGAGGATTTTGTAACTATGCAGAATTTGTAATAAAAAATATAATATATATAATATGTTGTATTATGAAGTAAATAATATAATGTCAATATAAAAAATGCATATAAAATTTTTTTTTTTAAATTTAAATTTGTTGAATTTTATTTTAAAATATTAATTTTAAGATAATAATTACCTTAAAGTCACGGTCAATCTTTCTGATGGTGACACAGGAATACGAAAAGTGTTCTGAAGCTTCAAAAAATCTTCAAGTTTTGCAAGCAGCTCGTCAAAAATGTTAATAGACATTTTTAAGTTATCAAAATATTTTGACTCGTGATCTCGTAATTTTGAAAACAGCGTACAGAATTCCCCTTCAATTGGCCGGTCTACAATTACTGGATGAACGTGATATCTTCTACGTTTTTTTTTTTTATTCCGGTGTTTGCGTAAATAATACGCACATATTAATGAATTTACAATGAATGGATTCGTTAAAGTTAAAGTATTTAAAAACTTAATTAACTAATAACAAAATAAGGTACGACAACCGATCGAATTTGCCGTCGGCTAAGCACTAAACGCTCGGTGATGACCGATGATCAGCGCGTACCGTCAGCGTGCACGGTACGCGCTGACCGTTGGTCGAGCACTAAATCCAGCCTTATAAATATTGATAATCGATTATTATATTAAAAATAACAGACTTTTTTTGTTACATACTTACCAGGTATATAACAAAAGTGTAAGTCCTACAGTGTGTGATAAGTTATAACGAAACCCATGGCATATTTAGGCAGGGGCTCCCAAGGTATCTCCAAGTTGGGGGAAATAGGAATAATTTAATTTCTGGGTTAAAGGGCTGCTCTGTCTCCTGTCACTTATGGCCCTAGTCCTGTCTCTTATGGCCACCAAGTTCCTCACTACGCCACTGAAAAAATCAACTCGATGAGTTTTAAACTTTTGCTCACGTCCTCACACCATCTACCTATAAGAAACGGTTCGCGTGTCAAAATATAATACACGAAAAATAAATAAGTAGGTACCTATACTAAAATATATAGGTACCAATTAAATTAACGGCCTTCTTTTAAAAAGTTAGGGATGTACCAACTACCTACAGGTATAATGGTTTAATGTTCAATGTAGGTTAGGACTTAGGTTTGGTTACCAATGAAATTGTGAAACATATTTATATAATTTTACAACTAAATTTATCAAGTATCACTATCACCAATTGTATATTAAATAAGCATCTGATCACACTATTACCTATAAGTTAGAAACCAGAAATTATAGTTAGCTATGATAAACTATAATTTAGTTTTTTCATCGTATTTCAAAACATGATAAATTTTAAATAATAATAAATTGTAAAAAATTGTATTTATATTCATAACGTATAACTGACAGATAGTTAATTGCGCCCAAAATACAAATTACTTTTTTTGAAATGTAAAATTCTCCGTGATTTTTAACCCAGTTAAATACCAGGGTCAAGTGGGTGAGTGAAAATAGGGCAATTGGAAGCGATATTAATTTCTCATCGATGGGTGGTGATAATATATTGGGCGATGCCCGTTTCCACCAAAAGTGTACCTTTTACTTTCCCACCAATACCTGTTTTCACCAAAGGTGTATCTTTCCCTTTTCCACCAAATAAAACAAAAAAATTAAAAACAAAATATAATATTTATTATGGTATAATTGTAAATAGTCAGATACAAAAATTTAAAAAAAAAATATAATAATTATTAAGGTATAATTATAAATGATACCTCAGTCATGTAAATTGCAACTATATATACAATTAGTTGATATTTTTTTTTAAATTGTAGGATATACATTTCACAAAATCGCACCTGAAATTTAAAACAAAATTTTGTTTTTAATAAATATATTTAGTATAGTATTTTACAAAACGCAATATGCTACCTTCCAATTATTAAATTTTTGTAGTCCGTTATAATTTGGTCAGTTTTCTTTTGGCGGTTTCTTACAGTATGTTCTTGTGGATTATTTGATATGTTAGTACTTTTTAATTTTATGTACACGTCTGTCTGAATTTCTATTACTAGAACGGTTAGCTATTTTATAATTGGATGACTTTCTTTACAAAAACTTTGATTGAACCTCGAATGAAATGACTCGCATGCTTTGGTTGTCCGTTGTAGACTACTTGACATAGCCGCCCAAAGTGTCGGTGAATACATACTATTTTCATCAATGTAATTATCTAATAAATAATCTGAGTATTTTTCAACTCGTTCGTCGATATGTCGATTTGACATAAAATCTTTGACAAAGCATTCAGTGACTTCAGTCGGTTCTAAAAAAAGTAAAGCAAAAGTATGGCGTATCCAAATGCCAATTTCAGATGATTGATTTTGGTATTCGACAATCCGAGCTTTTGCAGTTGACGATACCAAACCTGCGTTAAATGAAATCGACATCCTGTTATTTTTGTCTGTGGCCAAACGTTATTAACAGAGTTTAAAATCGTCTTTTAAAAGTCAGTGGTTACACTTTTTGGCGATAAACATAGATTAATCGACAAACATTTATCAACAATGAATTTGAATGTATCTGTATACGTGTTCATATTTTTGTCGGGTAATAAACAAAAAACCATTGGTATATAATGACAATTTTTGATACCATGAATTGTGAACATTTGCATAAAAAATCTAGCTGCATACTTAAAAGTTCCGTCCATATATAAATCATCTATTTCACATAAAAATCGCATGTTTATTTATTTGAAATATTTAAAAATAATGAAAAGTGTTATTTATTGTGGTTATTATAGTATCATATAAAATACAAAATTCAAAAAAAAATGTGTCAGTACTTTCCTCTAGCTACACTGTCTACTTGCCAAGGTACACTTCCTACTGTATTAAAGTAATCTGTATACTTTTGTCTCACTAAAAAAGCGTTAGATCCAGTTCTACAATTGTTGTTGGCCAATGGAAGTAACTGAGTATCCGGCATTTCACCAATTTCCTCTGTTATATTATTTGAAATAATCGTTTCTTTTCGCAAATAATTGTGTAACACACAAGCCGCTTTGACAACATTGTCAACACTCTCTACTTTAATTTCAAATGGTTTTCGAAAAACGCGAAAACGGGAAGCTAATATACCAAAAGTACATTCTACTGTTTGTCGTGCTCGTGAAAGTCTGTAATTAAAACTTTTATTTTCCATATTTCCTACAACACTTTTTTTCGGATAAGGTCTCATTAAATTTTCCGATAATGGAAATGCTTCGTCCGCTACAAAAACATATGGCAACGGTTGTTGAAATACAGGTAAAAATTCTGGTGGTGGAATTTGTAAAGATTGTCTGTTCATTTTTTTTGCCAACACACTGCTCGTAAAAATATTGGCATCACTAAATCTTCCCATTGATCCAACATCAACACTTATAAATTTATAGTTTGCGTCAACAAGAGCCATTAGTACCATGGAAAAAGTCTGCTTATAATTAAAAAATGATGTACCACTTTTTGGTGGTTTTTTAATCACGACATGTTTGGCATCCAAAGCACCAATACAGTGTGGAAATTGCCATTGCTGTTCAAATTCAAGTGCAACTGACTTCCACATTTCCATTGTAGGTTGTGGTAAATACAAAGGTTGCATAGTGTCCCATACCGCGAGTGCTACTTCATTTACAATTTTCGACACAGTTCTATCACCCATTCTGTAGCTGTAAGCAATACTTTTATAACTGTCTCCCGAGGCCAAATACCTGTAAATTTATGAATATTAAAACTAAACTGACATAAATCTAAAATTTATTTAGAATACCATTTTTTTAATATTATTGTCGATAAAAACTTTTCACTTAGTAAAAAATCTTTAAAATTTAATACGAGGCTCCTTACATGTAGAACGCTAAATTTTCATAAAGTTTAAATTGTTCATAACGTTCAACAGAAATTTAAAAGAACTTTAAAAACGTTTAAATTTACTTAACGTTTTCATTTCTTATGACAGTAAACAATTTCATTTTTTTTGTGATTTAAGTCTTGATTTGAAGTTTAAATTTTGATTAAAATTAAGAAAATTAAAAAATGTTATGAATTTTAAATTTTTACGAAATCACGTAAGAATAAAAAGAATTATTCGCAAACGATTTTCAATAATTATTGTTGATAATTTAATACAAGATTTTACCATATTGAATATAAATATTAGGTATTCAATTATTAATTCAACTTCGATACTGCATGCTACTCTATTTAATAACAATATAAATATGATATAAAACATCCTAGGCTAAAGTTTCGTTTAGAATCTAAAAATAGTTAGTCAAATTTAAATTATGTAACAGGTGAACTTGCAAAAGATACATGGACAAAATTAAGGTGTTGTCATCGAGATGCACTTAGAAGACAAAAAAAATGTTTCAAAAGTGGAGCTGCTGCTGAAACAATTAGGCAATGGAAATTTCAAAAACAAATGTCATTTTTATTGCCATACATGACAAATAGAAAAAGGGAGGCCAATTTAGTAGATAGTGGGGATGAAGACTCAGCTACTCCAATGCAAAATGCCATTGAATACCCAGAGGTCAGTGAAGTGTCAGAAAATAATTATCTGGAATCATCAGTCGTGGAAAATGAAAATGACGTATCTATTGAATGCAATGAAGATAGAGATACAGTTTTCAAAGAGCCACAGAATAAAAAAATTTAAAAAAATGACATAGGCAACTTAATCCAACAATCTATTATAAATCGAGAACATAGGGCAAAAGTAAGGGCGATTGAGCGTAAAAAGTTGGAGGACTCAAAACCTTTGACTGATCCACTTTATCATTTTTTTTTGTCAATGTATCACACCACGCAAAAACTACCACCAGCATCTCAACTCAGAGTAAAAAATAAAATATTTGAGACCGTTTCGGAAGCTGAGGCAGCTCTTTTGAATATCCCGAACACTTCATTTCAACATAATTTAGACGAACAAACTCAGTCTACTTCCACGTGGCAATTCATAGGAGACTCTTCTAGTTCTCATGAAAGTTTTATGTCCAACAGCTCTATGGATACACAGTCTTGTGAAAATCGGAGTGACATAAGACAGTTTTATACAAATTTTCAAAACTAATTTTGAGTAGCGTTATTTTTTTAAATTTTTATTTCTTTATTGTTATTGCAAAGTTATGCAAAAGTTTTATCAAAATTTAAAATGTTATGTTTAATGTTAAACTTTATGTTGAAAAATGTTTTGTTAAAGTTGTTAAGTGTAAAATTAACATATAAGTCCTAATTTTTATACTATAATAATATTTTTTTGTAAGCAGGTCATTATTTAATAAAAATTATAACTCACCTTAAAAATACAGCGAGTTTTTCTTCGGGATCAATTGGTTTTTGAGCATTACATTCTACTGAATAAATTTTATCATTAACAATACTTAGGACTTCATTAAATTGGTTTCGATTCAAACGGAAGTAATTGGTGAACTGTTTATCGGAAAATTCCGATGTCAGAATAAATTCACCGTGACTTTTTCTTTTCTTCATGTACGCGCTTTTCCATATAGATTTATTTCGTTTTGATAGTGAATACAAAAGTAAAAGTTCGTTCATTTCTTCATCTGAATCAGATGAATATATTATATATATATATCAGGGGTGGCGAACCTTTTTTTGGGTCAAGTGCCAAAATTTAAAATCAAGTTTTTTGAAATATGTTCGCGTGCCACCAAAAAAAAAAATTAATTACCTACCTAGTAAGGTAAGATGAAAAGAAAAAGCATGCAATAATTACACACATTTTATTAGGTATATACTATATAATTTAATAAATAAATAATAAATAAATAGTATATATGTAAAGTTTTATTTCATTTATTAATGTGATTTCTGTTGTTGTTTTTTAGAAGATTACATTTTAATATCTGGAGTATAGTTGGTAGTTTTCAGTGAAACACAAGCAGCACTAGTTTCATCGATTAATGTATTTCTCTGCTTCGTTTTTATTAAATTCATTATGGAGAATAAACTTTCACAAGCATAAGTTGACGAAAACATTGATAGGATAGAATGAGCAACTTTTTTTAATGTGTTAAATGTGTTTGGAAGCGAATTCCAGACTTTAAGAATTTCAGTATCTGCATTTTTTACTATGTTTGCTTGAAGACGGTTGATTTCTATTTCTTCGATTAGTGGTCTTAAGTCAATGAATTTTTGTTTCCACGTATTACAGGATTGAAGATCAATTTACTCAAATTCAAATGTATCTATATTCATCCATTCAAAATAATGTAAATCTAATTCATCGTAATTGCAAGTATCAGGGCATTTGAGGAACTTAATATTACATTCAAACTTTTTAAAATCTATAAACCTGTTATTGAACTGCTGAATTGTTTCTTTTATGATACTTAAAAAATTGTTTATATTTTCATCTAATTTAGGAGTCTCGTTGATTTCAATTTCACTCAGGAATTTGTTTAAATGTTGAAAATATTTAAATTTATGGTTTTCTATATCATGTATAAATACATTTAATTTTGTTTCAAAGCTTTTTATTAAACTAAACATGAACTCTAAATTTTTTCCGGTACCTTGCAATTTTAAATTGAGTTCATTTAAATGCAAACAAAAATCAGTAAAAAACATTAAATTGCACAACCAATTTATATCTGTTAATTCAGTGTAATTTTTTTGGTGTTCACTCAAAAATAAACGAATTTCGTGTAAACATTCTACAAATCATTCTAAAAGGTTGCCTCTACTAAGCCAACAAACATTATTGTACATCACGAGTCCTTTATGAATAGAATTTACATCTTCTAATAATAAACTAAATTGCCTTTTATTTAATGCTCGGGCATTTATAAAGTTTACAATTTTTGTTACAAGCTTTAAAATATTTTCATACTGCATTAGTCCGTCCTTAGCACACAACGCTTCCTGATGAATTATACAATGAAAACCAATTAAAGGATGTCCAATTTTTTTTTGAAAAAAGGTTAACAAAACCACGGTCTTTTCCAATCATACAAGCGGCGCTATCGGTAGTTACTGATACAATTTTAGATAAATTTAATCCAATATCTTCAAGGACATTAACAACAACTTCACATATATTTTCACCGGTAGTTTTAGCTGGTATAGATGCTAATCTTATAAGTTCTTCACGAACTTCATCGTTAATACAGAAACGAGAAATTATTGAAAGACGGGCAGACGATGTTATATCTGTACTCTCATCGATGCAAATAGAAAAAAATGAACCTCACTAAATGAGGTTTAAATCGTGTATTAATTGATTTTCAATATTAGAATTCATACTTAGTATTCTATCTTTAATAGTATTTCTACTGATTTACAAGTCTTTAATACGTTGTATAATTGCATCTTTATTATCAAAGTCTTGAAAAAGGTTAACAGCGCAATCTAACCACGACATCTTAATAAAATCTCCATCACTAAACGGTTTTCCCCGAACAGCGATAGACTTTGCAACATCAAAACTGGCAGACACTAAATTGTCAGATTTTTTAACAAATTTAATTAATTTATCACTTTGTGCATCTTTATTTGATAGTGCACGTGAAATAAAATATTTTAGTTCATCGGCAGATTTTGTTAACAGTGTTTTATGAATAGTTTCAAAATGACGTTTGACAGATGAAGTCCGACATACAACACTTTCTGAACACAGTACATATAACGCTTTATTATTTTTGAATATCATACCATATTTGAATGTCCACCATTCTTGAAAGTTTCGACTCGTTGATTCTTCAGAACATTTCATTTTTTTTGAAAGTGACATATTAATAAAATTTCCTGTATTTATTTAATCATCAATAATCACGATAGTTGACGACGGCCGACGGGTAACTAAATTATAAGTTCGTTTGAACCTTGAACGGCTGACAAAATATGTGCAATTGTTATCGCAACCGGTCGTGGACACATACTAGTTGCGGACAAATTATTCAGGTCAGGAATTATAACATAACAATTGCGGACACGAGTTTCGTTGTCATAATACTAATTGCGTACAGAGCTTTTTTTAATAAAAACCACGTTAGTTGTGGACACAAATATTTCCCTTCGCCACTTTTTCAGGACTTAGGACAAGCTACCAAAAAAATTGGTAGGTGGGGTTAAAAATATTTGTGTCTTGCAAAAGAGCAATCGTTATTTTTAAAATTGTTGTTGAATTATTTATTGTTTTAGTTTTGTGGAAAAAATTGTTTATACAATATTTATAGATTATCGTCATTATTCATCGTCATAGTTTTTATAGATCTTGTGGTACATTTTTTTTTCAAACAGCCTGTATATATGATATTCTACTGATTTCACCACGTGAATAATGCAACATTTGTTTGCTAATAAATGCCTCCTTTTCAATAGTTTTTTCTGCTCGTTTTAAATTTAGTACAGCAAAACAATTCATTTTTATATAGCTACTAGTCTGTACTTCATTTAAGGAATCGATCAATCGATATATATTAGGGTGATTAAATTTTAAAAATGCACTACACCTTTTATTTGTACACGCCCACCGTTGAATTTAATTTTTCATTATGCGATGAAAACGGAACTTAAACCCGTCAATCACATGTAACTCTTCCGAGTTTTTCACTATACATTTTTATACAGAAAATAAACGAACATCTAACGAACAGCAAGCGAGTATGGTTGTCGATAAACTGATTAAACATAGGCAGCGGTTTCAAAAGCACCGGTACAATCTTAATCGTTAATATCAAACAGTAATTTCCCAACGTCCACGATCGCTATATCAAAAATAATAATAGGAAATTTGTCCGCAATTAGTATCTTATATTTGTGTCCGCAATTCGTATGTTACCTTTTTAGATTTCGTCCGCAACTCACGTGGTTTTTGTCACTTTGTCCGCAATTCGGAAACACCGCCGGTCGTGGTGTCGGTAAGTTTAAAATAAACTTCGTAATCGAATGTTGGGTACTTTGTACTTCTATCGTAGCAATAAGAGTACAAAAATCATAAATATTATTTAATATTTGTTTTATTATAAATTTGATTCTTAAAATTTCTCATACTAAAGTTTTAAAATATAATATTTTTTTTTTAAGATGAATAATATTTGCGTGCCACTGAAATTTGGTCAACGTGCCACTTCTGGCACGCGTGCCATAGGTTCGCCACCCCTGATATATATATATATAGGTACATTTTACATCAATCCGAAAAACCCATGAAAAGTATAGGTATTCTACGATTGAAAAAAAAAATAAACTTATTACTGTATTAAAGGTTTTAATATAAGCGTAGTATACAAATTATTTTGGTAAATTAACCGAATAATTAAGTGGATCTCATTTGGTGGAAACGGGTATTGGTGGAAAAGGGAAAGGTCTACTTTTGATGGAAACGTGTATACTACATCCAACCTAAAAAAATAATAAAATTCTCATTTACCCCTTAACCACATGTAATATGGGGCAAATGGAAATACATATGTACCTACTTCATACATTGAACTATTCAAGTAATCAAGTATAATAGGTATACAATCAATGATAATGACAAATATTGTCAAATGTCCTAGAAGCCATTCCTATAGAATACATAGGTACTAACAAATTTGTTTGTTTTCATTTTTCTTTAAAAATCATATTTTGGTGGAGCAAATGTTAATAATAATTTTATTTAAAAATAGTAAGTACCTACATTAAACTTTTAATTGCGACATTGTCATTACTGGAAGTGTTCTAATTAGATCATAATGCAGAAATAGCCAACAATTGTTGACTAGTTGGTTATAATTGTATAAAATATAGGAATTAAAAAATATTTTTTCTTGAGTACTTGACCCTAGTTATTACCTACTTTGTATAATGTAAACTGCACTAATAGCTGTTTCTCATTTCTTATCGCCAGTCAAAAATGTTACGCCTTGCGCTATATGCAAAATGTTTAAACTGCACTAATACCTACCTAAATTAAGTTCAGATAAGAAAAAAACCCTGCACCAGCATTGTCTTTCTAATATCAGTCAATGTTTAGTTCTCTAATCAGTTAGCACAGTCCATTTATAATTTGTCTGTGTTACAGATAAGGTCATTCTACTATAAATAAGGTCAAAATTATTGTTGTCCCGCTCAATTTATACTTGAAGACTAACCATCGCTATCACTGTTTTTGCCATAGTTGTGTATCAATTATAAATAATAATCAACAACATTATACATATTTTCCGTAATCCATTCTGTAATACTACGGTCGTGAACTATAAGGTCGACGTATTTATTTTTCCCCTTGAAATATAGTCTGGAACTATACGGTTTGTGAAATTCGGGGTTTCTACATTCTGTGAAAATACGGTCTGAGTATTTACAGTCTAGAACCCTACGGTCTGTACGATTATTTTCGATTATTATTTTTCTACATGCGTTCGCGTTATTATATGTTGAGTAATTTAGTTAGTGGTAATTGTTTATTAGGTAACACTTCATGATGTAATTGAATTCTATAAGGAATTTTCAAAAAAAAATTTTTTTTTATTTTTAAACTAGACAATTGTACAATCTGTAATATAATGGTTTACAATAAGCACAAGTGATAAAAGAATAAATATAGAAAAGACAAAATAATAGGGTAATGTAACAAACAGGTTCATAGTTATAATTATTTACATCAATTCAGCCTAGGGGGATGAGTGAAGAGAGCATCCATTGATGGGACTTCGTGACATATGGGGGTGGAGGTTAGTCTAAAAGTAAATCACGGCACCACGTTCGTTTTAGTCGCCTACTAAGGTCACCTGGTATAGTGGGGGTGGATAGTTCTGAGATCAAGGGGTTGCGGTGATTGTGGAGATTGGCGTGCATGCATTTGTAAAAAGACTTGGCAACGTTTTTTATTGTTTGGATTGATATATCTTTATGGAGAGTATCATTAGAGACATAAAATATGGCTTTAGTTATTTGTCGTAGGCATTTGAATTGAAAAGATTGAATTTTATTAATATTGGAGGGTTTGGCAGCACTCCATAATTAGATGCCATATGTCCATATTGGTTTGAGGAGTAATTTGTATAAGAGAAGTTTATTTTTAAGGTTTAGATGTTTAGACGTTAAGAGAAAGCGTAATTGACGAGTTCGATCATTTGGAGCAAGCCGTTTTGTGTGGATATGCGTTGCCCAGGTTAGCCGTCAGTCTAGATGAGGACCTAGGTAGCGAACGTTTTAGGCAGATGGAAGAGGAAGGTGATTAAGGTACACAGGAGGGCAAACAGCTTGCCTAAGCGTGAACGTACAGTGGACGGATTTGGTTTCGTTAACTTTAATCCCCCAATCTGTATACCATATTGATAGGAGATTCAGGTGGTTTTGGATGAAGTTTGAAGCCGTTTCAGGGTTTGAGTGGAGAGCCAAGAGTGCCTTATCGTCGGCTAAGTCCCCAGTAGTTGTGTAGGCAGTAGCAGGTGGTCAGAAGTGAATAGATTTAATAAAAATGGAGCTGCGACCGCTCCTTAAGGGACACCAGCACAGATCGGGAATATTTCTGATATAGCAAAATCTGAACGGACAGAGAAGTGTCTATCTTTAAGGTAAGATTTAAACAGGAAATAGTATTAAGGAGGAAGAATAGATTTAAGCTTAAGGAGGAGGCCTTCGGGCCAGACGGTGTCAAAAGCTTGTGCCACGTCGAGGAATACACCTGTGCATATTAGCTTTTTTTCCAGCGTAGGAGATGTTATCAACAATGAATATGGATCTGGTGAATGTTTGAGTGATCATGTCGAAAGCCAAAATGGTTTTTAGGTAGGTTGGATTCAATAACGGGTAAGATGCGCTTTAGGATAATATTTTCAAAGATTTTCGAAAATAATGGAAAAAGGCTAATTGGTCTGTAAGATTTAGGAGAGTTTGGGGGTCTTCCTGGCTTGATAATCATGATAATTACAGAGAATTTCCATAGGAGTGGAAAATACGTGAGTCTCAGCATGGAATTATATATGTGCGTGAGCATTAGTAAAGCTTTTTTGGGCAATTTCACTGCTACTTCAGTTGTGATTATGTCATAACCTGGGGTTTTGCGACGAGGAAAGTGCTGTATTGCGTGTTCGACTTTGCTCGGGCGAATATGTTTAGGTGGAAGGGTCATAGGTAGAGGCACAGAATAGGGAGCGGTTTACTGTTTCGATTTGGATTGGGCATAAGTTGTTGTGTGGTTGAAAGGTAGAGGCGAGGTGGTGGGAGAATAAATTTGCTTTTTCCAGATCAGTGATGGCCCATGACCCATCAGGTTTTTTCAGAGGAGGTACATGAGGTTGCAAGGAAAGTATTTTTCTTGTGGTTTGTCACAATGAATTATCGGTAGTAGATAGAGAAACAAGAAGCCTCATAAAGTTTTCTGATCTAAGGCCAATGTTCGTTTTAGTTTATTCGTTATATTGTTGAATTTACGTTTATCGGAGGGGTATTTAGTTCTTTGCCAGATGGATCGGGCTTTTCATTTTTCTGAAATTAGGGCCCTAATATGTAGAGGTAAGTTCCTAACGTGGCCGAGGAGGAGGTGGTGAGGAGGAAGACCAGGCTAAATCTTGTATTGATTTGGTTCGATGGTTAACAGCATCGTCAATATCGAAGGTTAATTTTAAACTAACTTTTAGGTTGATTTAGCTGTCAAGTAATGATTTGAATTTATCCCAGTCCATTTGACCTTGGATAAGACTAGGTTTATAAAGAGAAGCTGTATCGATTGTGAAAGGACAGAAAAATGGTCAGAACAGAGGTCGTCTAGGTTGGTTATCGTGGCATATAGACCGTTTGGAATTTTCGTTATGAAAATTTCGAGAATGTCCGGGCTTTTTCTGGGTGAGGACCAGTAGGTCGGATAGGGAGGGGTGTGTATTTTATACTTTTTGATGTAGGCTAGGGCTTTGAGGCTATTACCACGAGGATTATTTGTACGGCAGCCCCATTGTTTGTGTTTACCCCCTAATATAAATTTTTGTCCAAGGGTGTTGAAGAAGTCGTCAAGTTGGTTATGGGTTATAGTATGGATGAGGACTGTAAGCTGCATAGATGTTAACAGGTATATTATTTAGTGTTAAGGATATGGCACAGGCTTGAATATGATGCGTTTGGATGTTGGGAAGAGGGTAGAAAATCAGTGATGATCTCACTATGATAGCAATTCCATCGTGAGCTGTGCCATCTGGGTGGTTGGTTTGGAAAGTTTGATATCCAGGTAAATAAAAGTTTGAAGAATTAGTGAAGTGTGTTTCAGAGATGAGTGCTATATCAATCCTATTATTTTGGAGTGTAGCTAAAATTTCATTTTTGTGGTTTGCGAGTCCATTCGAGTTACAGGTTAGGATGAGGAGAGACTTGGATGTAGGATGACTTGGTATTATTAATATTAGTGAGATTTGAGAGGACAGTGGCAAGGAGTGCTATTAGAGGGTTTGGTATGGATTTGAACTCGTTGAGGAATTTAAGAAACTTTCGTTGTTGTTAGAAGACATAGGATTAGGTTTGGGAGGTAGGTGACCCTCAGTTACATTTGCATACGAACGTGGCTGTGGCTTGGACGAGAATTCAGTTGGTAGCTGGGGGTGCTGTTGGGATTGTTCGACGTTGACGGCAGTGGTTGTTGAGATTTCTTACTTGAGAAGTTGTTGTGCTTGCGAGTCAGTAGCTTGTATACTGTATAACCTTTATAGTTGGCTGGGTGCGCACCTTCGCAGAGGGCGCATTTGGCCGGTAGATCTAGAGATTTTGGACAGGTGGTAGAGAGGTGTTTTCCACAGCATTTGACACACATAAGGTTGTGAGCGCAGTAGGCGCGGGTGTGGCCATAGGATTGGCAGTTTTGGCATTGTGGTATTTGTCGCTTTTTGTATGTTTCTTCAATTTTGATTTTCGTGTGCAAAAGAGAGGTTATGGAGAAAATATCACTACCACTATCACTATCGTTTGGGTGTAAGTTGACAAAAAAGAGAGGTAGAGGTGTTTTAGTTTGTTTGTGTCTGACATTAGTGACATTTCTTACAGTGTGGCCAATTTCTTCTATTGCGGATGCGATGTCAGCCTCCGGAGTAGAAGGATGGAGGTTTCTGATAACTACTCTTAAGGGCTTATCAGATTGTGGCTGATATGTACCTAACCTGATATGTGTGGTACTGTGCGTTGGTTTCTTTAAAGTAATGGATTATATTTCTGTAGCTGTTAGGAGTGTCTGCTTGGATTTTGAGGTGTATATTTTTATAATAATATATATTAATAAACAAAAGATAAGGGATAAAGTTATAAAGTAAAATAATATTTCGATGAGGGAGTATGCGCCATGCGGGTACGCCATTACAAAAATAGACACACACTCATACGGGCGCAGCACAGGGACAATTTACTAATAATGATAAACAATATTTAATATCTACACAAAAATAGTTTTTATGGAAATAATAAACATTTATTTGTATCTCTACCTCCTCGGACGAAAAATTAATATTTTTGTGATTCCATTACAACTTACAAAATCCTTAATTTTGAATACATGATGACATTCTCAAAACATTTTTGTATATTTTTTTTTACCCTGAGGGGGATCTGTCCTAACAACCCCCCCCCCCACACTTTGTACGCTACTGATTGATAAAAACCCATATACTGTATGTAATTGATTATAAAAATATGAACATGTATTATATGCAAAATCTGGTCTTTATGTATAATTATGAATTGATTACAATGTGGGGGAAGCATTTTTTTTAGTGGCATCAAGATCTTTGATACAATGTGCAAAACTTCTGTTGTAGCATATCCACCAAGAACTAATTAGGTACTAAAATTAATATTTCATATATATTTAAAAGATAAAACTACGTCTGTACCTACACAAATGAAAATGTATTTTTATAAATGTAAGTGTCTATTTATTAAATTATTAATACCTAAAAATTATAATTCATAGGTTGACTTGTTTGTTGAAACATGTCTGATTTCAGAATAGGTACTGACATTTGTGATATTTTTATAGACTGTACAAGTTTTATAAAGACATGAATATTTAATTTTAAAATAACTTTGTAATTCAAGTTATTTGATTCATTAATTATTCTTTAGTGTTAGGTTTTCATGTGCCGTATATTTTTAATGTAAATGTTTCGTTGCGTTTTTGAAATTTTACCGCTTTTGCCTTTCTCTTTGAGCCCGGTCCACACCTAGAAACCAAACATGAAACATTGTTGTCGACAAAATGTATCCGACAAAGTTACCGACAAAGATTAAAAAAACATGCGTCCCGACCAGTGATGGAGTAACCTGTAAACATTTATTCTCTACCAAAATGTGGCTCGAAGATGACATTGCGATCACTGGTGCAGCTTGCGTAATTTTAAGTTTAGAATATAAAAAAAGAAAAAAAAAGGTATATTGGATTTGTCCAAGTATTTTAACCAAAAAACAATATAGTGGTAGTGATTTAATGATTGATCTCAACGTGCTGACATTGATCTATCTGGAGAATTGAGGTAGATAAGTATGCTACAGTACCATTGCATAATATTATATACATATCTATAACTATTTAGAATTTGTTTTACTAAATTAATAAAAATTTTAAATAGGTGTAATGGTAGTTTGAACCTTTTCTACTTATGACAAGGGCCGATTTTGAGTTGGTAGGTATTATTAAATAAATGTATGCGCAATTTCAGAAGTACCAATCATATTTTGAAACATGAGTATTGTTTGTTTTATGGAAGAAAACTCTGTTTTGATCAAATATAAAATATTATTGGTAATGATCTTGATTTAAATTCTATATCTATATCTGAAGATGATATAATTGAGCAACTAACATCACTTAATGAAAAATATAGTACTGGTCCTGATTGTTTACCTCCTATTTTATTAAAAAAAATGTTGTTTGGTCTTTGCTAAATCTATAAATCACATATTAAATTTATTTTTAAACACTGGTATTTTTCCAATTATTTGGAAAAAATCTTTTGTCACTCCCATTTACAAATCTGGCGATAGAAATAATGTAAGAAATTATCGACCAATTACCAAATTCTCGATTTTTCCTAAGATGTTTGAGCCCATTATATCAAAAAAACTATCAAATTTATTAACCAATTATATTAGTCACTCACAACATGGATTTTTAGCTAAACATTCAATTTGTACTAATTTAATAACATACCATAATTACTTAATAACATCATTAAATAAAAGTTATCAAGTAGATTCTATATTATAATATACTGATTTCCAAAAAGCTTTTGATAAAGTAGACATTTATTATTATATCATAAATTAGAGTTGTTTGGAATAGGAGGTAATTTCCTTAAATGGTTAGTTCTGGCTTGTTCTCTTTTATTATTGATAGAACTCAGGTTGTTAAAATATCATTTACTATTTCAACTTATTATTCTGCGTTATCAGGCATCCCGCAAGGGTCTCACTTTTGGCCTTTATTATTTTTAATATTTATAAATGATTTATTACCATTAGTTCTCGAACCTTCTATTAAAATTCTTCTTTTTGCTGATGATGCGAAAATATTTTGTAAAATCAAATCGGTTGAAGATCTACTTAATAATTTAAATAGATGAATCAATTCTAATCTTGAATCGTTTTTTATATTGTATTAATATTTTTACTTACCTACCTACTGTTCATTTACCTACTACTTTTATTGTTGTTTTAATTATTATTAATGTTCTGGAAAACTATCCTAATTATTTTTACTTCGTTCTATTCTGTTTTATTGCTCTTTAATCTGTTGTATTATTGTATATTTTTATTTTTTCTGTTATAGGACTTGAATATATATAATAAATAAATAAATAGTGTTTATTATTTTTATTTTTTTAATGTATACCTACAAAATTTATATCAGAAGTATTGCTTCAATTTCAACATATAGCATCTTATCTTTTAGCAAATTGAATCAAGACGGTGAAGCCCGAAAGCGCAAATCGATCTTTTTTTCGATAACTCAAAAGCGCAAAATGAATTTGCGCTTTTGTACCTTGGTAGTGGGATAAAAGCGCAAAAAAAAAATTGTAAAGCCTGATACAATATTTTACTCGACTACGCTGGACGCTTTGCATGTATATAACCCGTTTCACGACATATTACAGAAACGCGTCGCGACGGTTGTTGCATTTGTCTGTGTCTTATTGTAACACATTACGACAGAGGCTAAAATATAATTTTTTTCGTACTACACATTTTATATTAAACTTTTAGTTACCGCGAGGGGCTTTGCCACCCCACCAAAAAAAGTGTATTGAATCTATACACATAAACATAGAGTAATCAATTTCTATTTTTCTTTATCTACAGAGTATAGACTACATCGCAAGTTAACGATGTATGTCCGTATATTGGTACGATAATTAATTCGGTATTCTACATAATATTGCAACAAATGCACAGAACTATAATAATACAATACAATACCTATTATATAGACAGTGAATTGCGAAATAAAAATCCTAAATCAATATTAGGTACATAATCACATGACATTGATTGATTAAATGTTTTTTAAAAGCTAATTAATGTAATTACCACGTTGTTAATATTTAATTATAAATAAACACACGGTTTAGGAATAGCTATCATTAAAAAAATGATTGTATAATAAATAGTATTCAAACATTAACAATAACATTATTTTGTTTTTGATTTGAAACAACATAGGTAAATATGTTAATGGTTCTTTTAAAAAATAGATAAATACATTCAGTAACTATTGTTTGATAATTATTTGTAATTTGTATCGATTATTCGAAATATTTTTATTTTGTAATATTTTAAATATTGTATCTATAAGTAAAAATTGTAAAATCGACTCCTAATAATACGTAATAATTATTATTTATATTTAAAATTGTTATGTATCTATTTCCCAACGAAACATCAAATAATTTTTCAATTAATGAAGAAAAAAGTGTAAAAATAAGCTAGTATAGTAGTTATTACAGGCCATTACACACTTTTTAATTTCGTATTCCACGCTTAGTATTTCGTACTAAACAAAGTGTATCGTACTACACACAATTTTAGTCCCTGCATTACGATGGCATTCGTTAACCTGATAACGGGGACTATAAGGCTCATACCACGGGAGAGTTTCCTCCTTTATCCATCTATCGCGGGTCGGCTGCTTCTCACCTATGTGGCGCGGTCTCGTCGCTTCGCGGACGAGTTCACACCGGGCGCTCGGGCGCCAGACAGATGATCCCCCGCCGGCAAAACTCTCATCTAGGAGGCTGATCGGTGGGTTTCCGTAGTCCCGCGCCGGCGAGCGCTGGGACATTACCGCCAGACAATTCCTCCTCTTCTACTAAGGCGCTACTCCCTCAACCACCGCGAGGCCATCCACATCGTCACGGGCGCGCGGACGGCCAGCGCGGGCACCCTGGGTACACGGGCGCGCGGACGGCCAGCGCGGGCACCCTGGGTACACGCGCACGCCGGCCGGACGTGCGTCACAAAGCTAGTTTGGCGCTGTTACCGTACGGGCTTGCTGCGAGGTCGGGCTTACAGCGGGGCTCTCCTCAACTCCCGCGGAATGGGATTTTAGATACCTGCTAGATAGCATACCCACATAGATGGTTTTCCCGCTAGCATCGGCGTCGGAGCAGGGTTTTCCGCTGAGACGCGACCTTTTTAGAGCGGTACGGTTTTCGTGACGGATGCCGTGTCCGTACCGGCTTTGCCGAGTTTAGTGCCTATAGATAAGAAGGTTACCCCCAGCCGGTCTTCTTGCACGTGTTCACTCAAGAGTTGGCTGGGCCCGTGATTTCTCGATCAGGGGGTCTATTTTGTACGCCATACGAATATTGCTCGTACATACGATTGTTCGCAGGCCCGTAGCCAGACCAAATTTTCAGGAGGGGCAAAGCAAATTTTTGGGGGGGCATTATATATAAATGTATTAAATATTAATATTTTTTAGGGGGGGCAATGACTGGGTTTAGGGGGGGGCAATGCCCCCCCTTGCCCCCCCGTGGTTACGGGCCTGATTGTTCGTACACATTTGTTTAGTATACGAACATGATTTGGGGGCCTATTCTTGAAATCATACGGATTGGATCCGTATACGAACGATTCACATGATAATTTCCGTATACGAACAAAAAATCGTATTCTTGAATATTTTTCGTTCGTATACGAATCCGCGTTCAACAAATCGTTCGTATGGGAATACTATCCTAATGGTACACAGCGCAACGTCGCAAAATATGTCGTTCATTGTGGAAAGTAAAATAAATTCTATACAAATATTGTGAGCGCTTACTTATGTTACCATGAAATATTATTATTTTCTATTCATTTTTATAGTACCTATAGGTACTAATAGCTTTGCCATTTTTTTTTTCATTTTACCGTTTTATCTCACAACAAAATGTCGTGCGAAAAAAGAAAAAAAAGTCAATCCGTAACAAATGATCAAAAAACAGCAATGGTTGATTTTTTAAACAACCATTCTGATTTGTTAAAAGGCAAACATTCAGCCACTTTTACAAAAAATATTGCCGCAAAACAGTGGCAAGAACTAACAGATTTGTTAAATTCAATCCCAGGGCCAATAAAACACTGGAAAACCTGGCATAGAGTACGTACAAATAAATTAAAATTCATCTTAAAAAGAATTTTATGATTGATGAGATAGGAAACGATGATATTTAAGGACAATAAACGCATGCCTGCAAAATTTGCTATGTGTACTACGCGTAGTAAACCGACCTCTTACTTTAAATTTCATATCATGTGAATAATAACACAGTTTAAAATTTAAATATTATGTGATGAGATTAATTTTTTTGAACCATTTAAAACTCAGCAGATTATTAGTAGAATTAAGTATAATATACATATATATATATGTATATAGATCATATTATTATGTAATTAAAATATAATATTTATGTTAATATCAAAAATAACAAATACGTAGTTAACATATAGTTACGTATAGTTAACAAAAGATAAATACAAATTCCAAATTATAAATATCCATAATAATATTTTTTAGAGATGTGTTTATTGACAGTGTAGAATGTATAGATACAATTCAAAATTTTTTTATTAGTAAAATAAAATATAAATATTAGCAATGTCATATTAACTACATTAATATAATATCTACAATAATAAATCATTTGAGAAATCATATTACCTATAATATCATATTATAATGACCAACCATAATAAATATTAAATAGTAATAATATCATATAATTAAATGTCTTTCAAATAAAGTGACAATTAATACATCAATGTGATTAACATAATACGTATTAACTTTAAATATTTGAGAAGCCTAAGATGAACACAATATATACCTACATTATACAACATAACATAATATCATGATTATAAAATAGTATTTATTATTTTGCATATGTACTAATAAATAAAATTAACTGAATATGCCTTATGGCCAATATACTGCTCATATATATACTCACACTCACATATTAAGATTATTTAAAATTAAATTAGAAAAAATATTTAACTACAAAATTACATTTTTAAAAAAGTCTATTTAATTACAAATTATGAGAGTGTAAAGTGTATTAGTGTGTGATATTATAGTTTATTTAAAATTCAGATTTATATAATACCTATGTGCATTTCTAAATGATGTGGAAAATAATAAATTGTTGATTTCTATATTCCTATAAAATAATAACTTGCAGACATGGCAAGATCTTAAAGCTGAGGCAAAAAAAAACAAGCTCAGCTCAACAAAAGCTTGAAAGTTACCAGTGGAGGGCCATCAACTGCTGACCCACTAGATAATTTTAGTGAAACTGTGGTCACCCTAATAGGAGAGGTACCAATCTCTGGTGACCCTTTAATAACAGAGTCGAAGTTTCCTTTGATTTTGGAGATAAATCAAATATGTAATAAAACTAAATGAAATGGAAATCATACATAATATTAATATTTATTTTTTAGAAAATCTATACCTATAATAGCATCCTCTATGGTCTATGGACAGTGTGAACACTGGATTTGAAGAAACTGCTTCAAATAATAATGCTTTTGATTCTATGTAAGTGACAATTTTATGAATGGCACTTTTAGACAGTTGATTAGAAAATCTATTTAAAATGTTTATTTAAGATTTAAAACATGTCATAGTTCAATACTTGTTTATTTAATAGTCAAATTGTTGAAGAAACTAATTGTCAACCCTCAACTTCAACCTCGTATAATAATAGTTCGATAGATTTACAGTTAGCCCCAAATACAGCGAATACCACGTAAGTTTATTGCAATTCGATCGCATGTAAGTTGTACCTACCTAACTTGTAAGTCACATTAATAACCAGGTAATATGATTTAATGATTGTGTACTCAGTCTGATAAAATATTTACAAGTCATCGTGCTATGTAATGAATAATTATTTATCGTTATGTGATTCACGAGTGTTTGAATAATTAGTTGAAATATAAAATAATATTTGATATTAATAATAATAACAGTAATAATAATACATAACACAAAATTCAGCGATGTAATAATCTTATAAAATTTAATCTAAACATTGTAGTACTTAGTCTTAAATATTTACAGATAAATATCAATCGGTAAAGTGAATAATACATTAGTATTTATCAATGATGAATATAAAAATTGTATTAAAGAAATAATATTACTAAATTATTTGTTTACATATTTTTTATTAAATAGTAACAAAAGGAAATTTGAAGGGTCGGTTAAAGAAACAATGACCAAAAAAGATCGTCTACAGCACACTTTTAGAGCTCAAGAAGAGCTAATGACAGAAATGTAATTTTTAAAGAATATTATAAAAAAAAAAAATGAATACTATACTGAATTATTAAAACTAAAGTACGAAGTACAGCCGCAAAAGAAAGAAGTGCAGCAGCACAAGAAGGTATTGCTGAAGCTTTAAAGTTAATTTACAGTAATAATCATACGTAATTTTTTTTCATTTTTCTTCATTTTAATAAGTTATAATTAAATTAGGTACTAAAAATTTAAAAAACTCCGGCTTTTAAAAATGTATATTGTAATAACAAAATTTGTTGTTTAACGTTTGAACACTTTAATATATAAATATTGATTTTATTAAATTGTTTAATTTCAATGTTAAATAACACATGTCATTATACCTGTGAAATAATTTAGGTACCTATTGGCCATTATTACGTTTATTACCGAAACCTCATTTTTAATACTCCATTACAACGTTCAATTGTAGATCTAGCCTTACAAATGACATCGTTGTAATTCGCCTCTGGAGTATCAGGTCGTGGGTCCAAGAATGGAGTTAATAATCATGCCCGCAAAGCATACCCAGAATCACTTATACAAAATGTAAATACAATAACATTACATTTTTTAATGTAAAAATCTCAAATTAACATCACATATCTACCACATACAAAGAGCACCACCAATAAAGTCCATAAAAATAAATACATCAAGTTTATTTAAAACCAGAACATATAATATAAATAGGTATATTACTCACCAATTGGGTATTTATTGAATGGTACCCCTTTCTATTCACATATGTGTTCAGGGTACGTGGGGTCTTCGGTTTTAGGCGGTACTATAGCTATATGTGTGCAGTTAATAATACCCACGATACCTTGTATATTAAATTTATCATAAAACCTTCAGAAAAAAAATTTAATTACAATATAAGGAACAAGAAGTTTGTTTCTTAACAGAGCAACCTTTTTTTTTTACTTATGTAGCTAGGTAGGTGAAGTACGAATTTGGCGGTCAAAAAAGTTTTATGACCGTTCGAAGTTTGTAATTTTTACAATATAAAAATAAAATATGTTCGGTAAAGTAACAAAATATAAATTTATAAACATAAATTACCCTTTTTGGACAGCATTTAATTCCACAAAATTGCTTGGGAAATGTACAATTTCATCAAATATTTCAGGACGACATAATGCAGTGGTTATTTCGTCTACTATCCTACTCACAGACGGTTGACTAAAGCTACGTTTACACGATGATAGTTTAACGCGATAGTTGCTATCGCGAGAGTATGCGATATTTGATCACCACGATAGTTAGTGTTTACACGCTATCGAGCGTTTTTACTACTGTCACACTATCACAGTAATATGAAAAGTATAAGCAGTATGAACTAGCAAATATTGCTGGTTGCGACTTGCGATTCCAAAGTCTAAAATATGTCGACAACTGAAGTGACTTATGCAATTATTAATGTCATTAGTGAGATTATTAAGCTTAGACAAACTAAGAAAAAAAAGCAAAAACGCATTTGGATAAAACCATGGATTCAACGACGAAATGCATTAGGTGCATCAAGCACGCTAACGAGAGAATTAGCATCTGAAGACCCCGACAGCTATTGCAACTTTTTTAGAATTAATGAAGATATGTTTAATATTTTACTCAAAAAGGTAGTATTAAAATATATAATTTAACTATAACCTATATTAATTTTACTTTGTTATAGGTTGAAAATAAAATTATGAAATGTGATACTATTATGAGAAATGCCCTATCACCTAAATTAAAATTGGAAATTACTCTGCGTTATTTGGCTACAGGAGATTCCTACAAATCACTTCAATATCTGTACAGAGTCTCAGCATCGTCCATTTGTAGTTTTTTACCTGCTGTATTTGATGCTATTTATGAAGGATTAATAGAATATATCCAGGTAACAATTTTGACAAAAAATAATCATGCCTTATATAATGTATTATTATTTATTAATCTGTATGGTTATTATATACTGTTTATCTAGAATACTTTTTAACAACTTTCATTCATTAATTAAAAAAAAAAAATACATATTCTTTAGAAATTATTATTCAATTTCAAAATTATTATAAAATAGTGCTAAATTTGATTGTTGGTTTATTTGATGTACTGGTTCTAAAGTTGTAAAACAATCAGAGTAAGATGCATCAAATTCATCTTTTGTAGAATCATTACTTGAATATGAGATATTTGAATTGCTATTATCAGATGGTGAAGGTATAAGTTGTCCCTCAGTTGTATTTGTAGCTGTCATTACAATTGGGTTTGTGGACCCATTTATCTCATTCATTGAACTAATGCGAGCTCTTGTCAAAATATTCTGGATATCTGATTGTGCCATGAGAGCCTCTTTTAAAGGAAGTTGTTCCAGTTGAGTTGCTATATGTTTCGCAAAAACTGTAAACTCATTTTCATTTGTTTGTTTTTTACAAACATATTTCAGGGTTTCTACAGCATTGTCCAACGTGCTATCAATTTTAGCTTTTTTAAAAATATTTTTTTTTGACTTCCGTTGTGTACATGTAGGTGCTTTAAAGTTATCATCATCATCATTAGCTTTTAACCCAGAATCCTTATCAATCTGTACTTCTTCTTGTAGTATTTGAGAATCATCATTATCCATAGATGTTAATACAACACTTTCATCATTTAATACCTATAAAAATATAATTTTTAATTGATTAATATAAAATTAGTTTGTTGTTGTATATTATTTTTTATTAATTTTATAGGTCCCGAAAAATGAAAATGAATGGAATAAAATCATTAATGGCTTTAATTCATTATGGAATTTTCCAAATTGCTTTGGCGCCATTGATGGCAAGCATATAATGATACAATGTCCTCCAAATACAGGTTCCAACTACTACAATTATAAGGGGTCATTTAGCATTGTTTTATTAGCCTTAGTTGATCATAGTTATAATTTCGTATGCATTGATATTGGCAATTATGGAAGTAACTCTGATGGTGGAATTTTTGAAAAATCAAAGTTAAAAAAGGCACTTGAAGAAAACGTTTTAAAACTGCCAGATGGTGCAGTTATGTTGGGAGATGAGGCTTTTCCATTGAAAACTTACCTTATGAAACCATATGCAAGAAGAAATATTGTTTCAAGAAAAGAAAAGATTTACAATTATAGGCACTGTCGTGCCAGACGAATTGTCGAAAATTCTTTTGGTATACTGGCTAACCGATTCCGAATATTTAGGAAACCTATACCGCTCGCTCCAGAAACAGTAGTGAAGCTTGTTAAAGCAGCGTGTTCCCTACATAATTGGATTAGAAAGAGTGGATTTAGTCAACACTCCATATCAGTTGACATTGAGGATTTAGAGTTGGGACGTTTAATTCCTGGATCATGGCGAAATGAAGAAGGTTCATCCGGATTCAGAGGATTAGGACCCCCCACACAACGAAATCCTTTAACTGAAGCTCGAAAAAAAAGAGACAGTTTTGCAGAATATTTTGTTGGCGAAGGAGAAGTGTCATGGCAACATCGAATGATCGAATAATTAATATTATTATTATATTATTAATTGTGTGTAATAAAATATTATTTAATGGTGTCTATAAATATCATAAATAGTTAAGTAGTATAGTGCCTACCATTATTGTAATATGTAATAAGAATTAAAAATTAATTTTAAAAAGTATTTAAGTTAATTAAAAAAATTACACAATAAATTATTATTCAACAATTTATTCTTATATTACTGACCTAAAATTAAGTAAATAAACATTAGCATGCATTTTAATATAATATGATAGTGAGCTAGTGAAGTTTATACCTACTGAATAAATACATATTTTAAAATTGTATTAAACTTAATAACTCTCCAATTGTTAACATGATTCGATTTCTCAGTTGTGTATCTCAGTTTCATATCAATAAATAATATTTAAAAACATAAAATGTATTTTAAGTTTAATTATAATATTATAAATATATTATAAATATTACCAAATTAGTGTCCGATTTATTTTCAATATCTGAAGTTTTTTTTAAAAAACTATCCGCGAATGAAAACCAGGCCAATTTAGGTTTATATACTGTGCTCGACCCTGAACCTGTCCTCATTGATGATTTAATCTTGGCAACCTCTTGATTATAAGTACATCTATATCAATATATATATATAAATCTATTATTGCACTAGTTTAATAATTACCCAATTTATAACGAATAACATTTAGTTTACAAATATTGTTTTCACAAAATAGATTATTATATTATGTATACTAATGAGAAAAAAATACTGACCTTATATTTCTTATTTTTTGTCTTAACTCTTTGACATTGTTTATACCACTTGTGATTTTCAACAACTGTTCTTCAGCATGGTCTCTTTTTATGCGATTTTTAAAGTCAGGCATGCTTTTGTCCCACAAACAAGGGTACCTTTGGTACTCCTCGAGAAATTCAATCGTATTGAACTGGTTAGCCATAATTACAGATTATAAATTCTTAATTAACTCTTAATAATTTAACATTTGAAAACATTTAACAGATGAAAATCAATGTGAATTGAAATAGAATTAGAAAAATAAAATTAGAAATAAAAATAGAATTATATTATAATTAATATGTAGAATATCCTACTCTCGCGGTAATAGAAAATCACGTTCACACGGCGATAGTTACTGTCACTCTCGTAAAAGTTGCTCTCAACTATCATGCATGCATGATATTGTGATAGTAGCTTCACGATAGTTCGATAGTTACTATCACTCTGTTCACACGGCGATAGTACTATCACGATAGCGACTATCGTGAGAGCAACTATCATCGTGTAAACGTAGCTTAACAGAGGCATAGTGACTGACACCTATGTCCATCTGGTAGCTACCAGATGCAAAAAACCTAAGAGCTGTCATAACCTAAATAAACTTGAAGATAAACAAAATGTGCCATGTGGTTAGGGTCAGATAATTTAAATGAGATAAGTATCATAAGTAATTAATCAGAATAGGTAATTAAAAGTTAAATTTATCATCTAATACATTTTGTAATGTTGTCAAGTTATGTAATGTTGGCTTAAGTATTCACATAACAATAATAGTAGATAGTAGTGTCATATTAAGTAAAAACAATAATAATAATGTGCACTATTATTATGTGTATGTTCCGATAGGCGATATGTTATACCCATGATAAAAACTGTGGCAACGAGAATGGCTATTTTGTGATGCGACCGTTTTATAATAATATAATAGTGGCTGTGGGTATCTTAATGATAAACTCGTTTACAATGCACATACTTTTATGAAACTAGTTAGATTGTGGAGGGGGAATATACCTATTCACAGCCACGCGGGAAAAATTGGTGGATAGGTCTTACCTATTTTGAATACTCTATGTACTTATATACCGGCCTATACACACATGTATAAAAAAAGTCCTTTATATTTCAATATAATCCGGCTGAAAAATTCAGTGCCCTCTAAATTGTCGGACAGCCGGGCACACGATATTATATTTTATCCTAATAATACTTCAGAATGTTTAAAAGCCAATAAAAAAAATATTTATAACCCCATACTTTTTGTTGCATGGTCAGCGCACTACTTCTTGAAGGAGCTTTCATGAAAGGCGTCACAATCTGAATTACCTTTGTCGCCAAACCTTTTGATAACCGGTAAAATATAATGAACAGGCGATCAGAAAGACCTAAATTAGAAAAAAAATTTAAAAAACTATTTTTTACACTAAAATATCATGCAAACAGTGAGTAGGTACTTTAAAAACACTATAAAAAAAAACATTCAATAAGGTACCAAAACGGATAGGATAATAGCTGATAGTATTTTGCTACGTATTAAATGTATTAAAAATAAATATGTAATAGGCATTTACTTTGGAAAGGATCTATAAAGTCATACTTCTGTAAAACAATTTCCGCATCTTCTTCGATTTGTTCTAATAACTCTACACCATTCAGCTGAACATAAAGGTCTAAATCATCCATATTCAAATAATAAATTATCAAAAGTTCTAGTTGAAAAGATTGAATGTGGTGGAAGTCGGTATTTCGGTAGGTCTAGACACTACAGAAACAATACTTTCACTAAAGACGATTGCAAGTTAAATGAAAATAAGAATATAATTAATAGATATTAAACGATTGGGATTAAGTAACGACTAACGAATATAAATAATTACCAACTGCAATCTGTGAATCACGTAACGAAACACTATAAAATCGATAATTATAATAATATATAACAAAGGTACCTACATACCTATAATTTATTTTTATTTTATTTAATCAATTCAAATTCAAAACCATTAGTCTCAACAATAACAGTAGGCTCATAGATAAATTATAAATTATAAATGATTACCTATATCTATTAAGTTTTAATAACAATGAAATTATAATAAAATATGTGATTTAAATAAATATAAATCGAAGAATCGAAGGTCAATTAAAATTATATATATTATATACCTAATTAATATTGATTACTATATGATACCTACATTATATAGAATATTATTATTATTTATTAATAGGTATTTATAATCAATGATACAAAGTTAATGCTTAAACAATAGTAAGCTTATTCATTTTAAAAATAAAAAATAAATAAATTAATAGGTGATGCTCGTTTTATGAAAATATATCCGTTTTATGGATTTTTAAATATTCATAAGAAATGTTTATTCTGCGTTATTTTTTTGACAATTTTCAATTTAAGGGAATAACATTTGGACCGTTTAACCATTTTTAAGTCATTCAACACTAAAATTCAGTTTTTTTAATTTAATTTTAAGATTTAAAAGTGTTTTTTGTTCAAAACTAAAAAAAAAAATCTAAGTCCATTTTTAAGGTATAAAAGCAGTTTTTAGGGAATTACTTTCCCATCTATAGTTTATTACTAACGGGTGTTATTAAACAAAGCAAAATCTGTCAGTAACAGAAGAACATAGATAATCTTCATCTATAGAAGGATTTTTATATTATAACCAAATGCCTGTTTTTTTTTTATAATATCCAGAAAGTATATTTTTTGGAATAGCTGCAAGTGAAAGAGCCTGCTCACTATAGGTGCGGCATATCATAAATACTTATTGGAACACCAGAGTGCGAGTCCTTTCAACCACTTTCTGCAGTAAAATATAATGTTTTAAAATGACCATATATATCTAATGGCTATAAGTGGTTTGTTCTATGATGAGGGAAAGATAACAGTACTATACCATTTTCTTTGCAAAAATCAAGAACTATAATAGATAAATGATTTTTTAACAATAATCGTACAGGAGATGATGTACGAACATGTTTAAAAAGTTAGACAAACTGGAGAACTGATGAAGCATTTACCCAACCACTGGGATGATCTGTTCCAATACAACTAATAGGCCCATTGCTAGTAAAATGACTCTTAAAGTTTCCTCTTGGAAAAAAAACATAGATGGTAATGAGTTACCATTACAGCGAAAAAAAAATTGTAACAACTGATATGCCTCCTTCTCCTGATGTAGCTTTACCTACTTGTTTTTTCCTTTTTCAGCTATTATTTTTGTTGGTTTTTAAACGGTTTTTACCCTCCCCCCACAGTTTTGTACACATTACACACACTATTTAGCATCACATTTATATTTTTGGTACACAGATTGCAAATTATCCAAAAATACATCAACTTTATTTTTAATGGAAACTTGCTTCAGAATAAGGTAAGGACAAATTAGAATGTCTTTTTAATAATGATGAAAATCAGTCTTTAGAAGCTTCTTTAAGCTTCTTTAATTTTGCATATTCATACATACATATATAATAAGTAATTTAATTATTGTCACTCTGGGGCAAGATTAGTATGATAAACTGAAACGTTTCTCCTGTAAAAATGAGTTTATTATATTATGAGGCTATTTATAACTTATTTACTAGATAATTTACAAACCTGTAAAAATGAGAAACAACATTCAATGTCTATTGATCCCAATCTTGTCTCTCACAAGTTACAAAATATATTTTAACAAATATATAACAAATTTAACAAATTACTCTAAACATAATAATTAATTTTTCCTATAACAGTATAACATACCTATTATCATTGATTAAATATACATAGATAGCCCACGCAATGATAAAAATTAGAAGCAATAAATCGAGCAATTGGGAGCCCAGAAATAATAGCATGGGAGCCTGATATTAGAATGCGCTAGTGGTCTCAATCTTTGACTCTTATCACATACTGCACTATCAGTATTTACTATTTATTGGTAATTTCAAATTTGTAGCTACAATTACTGCCGCTGGCTCTAGTGCTCGACCGTTGATTCTGTTGTTTGTTGTTCTCGTGTTGACTGTGTTAAAAGATCAATTAATATACTAAAATGTCTCGTGGTTGTGGTAGCAAATGTGTATGTATAAATTGCAACAATACTGCACGCAAGAATACCGATTTAAAATTCCGCAAGTTTCCAAAAAACGAAGATTTTCGAAAAAAATGGATTTTAAACACAGGTAAGGAAAACAAATATTTTTAAAGTAATAGAAGAACTATGTTTTTATATTTATAAGTTAAGTTGAAAGTAAAGTGCTCACCAAGTTAAAACTTGAGTTATGTTTCATTTAAATTCAAAAAAATTTAGTGTAGAAGTATAATAATAAATAATAATGTATAAAATAATATACATAGTCACGATAATTGAAAAGTGGGTACCTATGTTAATAATAAGTACAATGTATTTTATATTTTGGTAGAGAATTAATTTTTTTAATGAGTGTTATGAATCATTATTAATTGTTACTTTATATTATATTTAGTATTCATATTTTGTTTAGGAAATGTCAATTTAGTTCACCTCACATCTGATGAACTATCACGTCGATATATCTGTGATAATCATTTTCTTGATGAAGATTATACAAACAATGAAAAATTAAGATTGACTAGAAATGCAGTTCCTATAAAGTATAAAGACTTTGAACATTTACATGTATCTACATCCTCTAAAGTTTACCAAAAAATAGGTGTTCTAAGTCCAATAGCAATTGAAACTATTTCAAAAAATGGATCTCCTAGTGTATATGTTCAAACACCAAATAAAAGGTCATCTGATTCAGATAATATTAGATCAATATCTTCAACTCCAGTTTTGACTCCAAAAATCAGACAATTTATTGAAGAATCTCACGAACCAACTGGCCTAACACCTAAAATATTATTCAATAACAACAATGATAGTAAAATAACAAAACTAAAGCTTGCTCTTCAACTTAAAAAAAAACAAATCCGTAACAAAAATGCCTCTTTATTAAAGTTAAAAAAAAATTTGAAAATACTTAGAGAAAATAAAAAAAATAAAAGTACTTTATTAGATTCTTTATACTATCCATCTTCAGATTCTAAAACACTTGTAAAAATGCAGGTATTAAGACCTAAATTTTCAAGGAAAAAATTCACAAAAAATGAACAAAATTTTTCTTTAGGTCTATTCTACAAATCACCATCTGCTTACAAATTCTTAAAAAATAACAAGCAATTAACTCTACCTGGTTTATCAACCATCCGTCGCTGGATTGGAAGTTCAAAATTCAAACCAGGATTTAATGCAGGAATATTTAAACAGTTAAAAAAAAAGTGAATCGATGAGTCAAGACGAACTTTACTGTACTTTAATCTTTGATGAAATGAAAATTAAGAATTATCTTGAATATTCCAAATTTTTGGATGTTGTTGAGGGATTTGAAGATTTAGGACCTAAGGGTCGATCAAATAAATTAGCTGGCCAAGCAATGGTATTTATGATTCGTGGATTATACTCTTCTTGGAAAATGCCAATATGTTATTTTTTACCAGCAACATCAGTGAAAAATAATATACTAAGTGAGTTGATAGTAGAAATAGTACAACGGCTATTAAATTGTGGATTTTTCATCAAAGCTGTAATATGTGATCAAGGTGCCAACAACGTATCAGCACTTAAACTTTTAAAAGTAACAAAGGATAAACCATTTTTTGAGGTTGATGGAAGAAAAGTTTATTCAATATTTGACACTCCTCATCTGTTTAAAAATTTTAGAAACCATTTTATAAAGAGTAATTTTAAATTTCAAAATGAAGAAGTATCTTTCCAGGATGTTAGAAATGTCTATAACATTGATAAAAACAGTACTACAAGTAGGTCATTATTAAAAATAACAGAAAACCACATAAACCCTGGACCTTTTCAAATGATGTCTTGCAAATTAGCAATGCAACTGTTTAGCAATACAATGGCTGCTACGATAAAAACATGTGTGTATACGGGGGAGCTGAAATCCAAAACTGCTCTTCACACAGCAAATATGATAAAGTTTTTGAATGACCTTCTTGATGTTTTAAATAGTAAAAGTTTATACAACTCAAATCCATTTAAGTGTGCAATATCTGATACAAGACCACAGCAACTTCAATTTCTTGAAAAAGCAAGATCAACGTTTGAAACTTTAGAAAAAATGGATGTTAAAAATAAAAATAATAAAACTACCCGACCTCTATGTTTTGATGGTATGTGCTGGACAATAAATGCAATTATAATGCTGTATAACGAACAAAAAGAAATTGGCTTTAATTATATTTTAACTGGACGATTGAATTCAGATGTTATAGAAAACACATTCTCCGTTTTTCGACAAAGAGGAGGATATAATCGAAATCCTACTGCAAGAATCTTTCGTACAACTTTTAGACTGAATGCCAAAATGAGTTTAATGAAACCATCTGGTAGTTCAAATTGTGAACCTGATGATGATACCCATTTAATGACTAATGAAGACAATGAGACAAGATTGCTTGATATGGACAGTAGCTTTTCTTCTTCATCATCGGTTTCAATGTTGAGTATTGATAATTCTCTGGAAGAACAAGAAGCTGTAGTAAATTTAGAAAATTGTTCAAACACTTATTTCTCTGGATATTTAGCCATGAAGTGTTTATTGAAGTTTTCCTGTCCGAATTGTGAAAAATTAATGATAAAATCTGGCACTATTCCAAAGCAATTGGAATATTTAATTTTTTGTAGAAATTATGACTCAAAAACATCAAAATTACATTTAAAAGTACCTACAACTGCCATCACAGAATTTGTTATTTCATCTCAAAAAATATTTGCTAAAATATTGGAAAAAAAACCTCATAAAATAAAAATTGCTCAATTTGTTGGTAAACAAATTAAAACAAATTTAATGCATTCACTTATTATTGAAGAAGATTGTATTCCACATCTAGAATTTATAATTAAGCATTTGATAATTTGTAAACTTTTTAGAAATATTAATTGGTGTTCGAAAAATTTAAAACATGTTAAAAGTGAAAAATCAAAAAAAAAATTAAAAATTCTTAATAATATTTAAATAACATAAGTTTTTTTTTTTTATCATGTAATATTGGGAATGTTATTGAATGTACAAAATGTATCTATAAAAAAAATAGTTATAAAAATATTGTAATACTATAAGAATTAAATAATTTTTTTTTAAGATTAGCTACTAATTTTTATTTATTTGTATTAATAATAATGAATTTTGTATTATTATTATTAATTATAACTAACCTATGTTTTGATTGTTTATTAAAAAGTAGAATGTCTAAATAATTAATGTGTAAGGTTTCAATATATTATATGAATTTAAATTTATGTGCAATGATTAATTGTCTTCAGCTGGAATTTTATGAAAAAAAGTGAAATAAATATTAAGTAAAATATTTACGTTGAAATTTAATGGCGAAACCTATCTTAACCTATTTTAATGAAATATATAACGGTCAGCTTAAAACTATATGATATAATATAAAATATGTATAATAAACTTTATTTCCTTCAAATTAAAATTAAAATTATAAAAATACGATGATTACTTATTAAAGCAATACATTTAATTAGAACAATTTTCAAACCACAACATTTAGGTTTCTAGGACTGATGACAAATTAATTGCATGAAATATAATATAGAAAATAATAATAATATATTAATATTATTATATTATCACATATTATGCTATACGATATTAGATTATTTCTTATCTCAAATATTCAAGAACGAACAGTGGACTCTGAACTGGCGACGATTGTCGGCGTTACTATCTATTTTTAGTATTTACTATTTTATGTCAATAATAATAATTTAATTTCCAATCGTGACACTACACGCTATCTATTGAGAGATTGCGCTATTAATTAACTAGTTTCCATTATGCCCATTGCCGTGGGCTATCTATGTATATTTAATCAATGCTATTATTATGTCTTATCATACAATTCAAAATAATAGTAATCACTCTTAAGTAATGATATCAAATAGTATGTCTTATCAGCCTACCTTATCAACTAACTCGAATTCAAATACAGTGGAACCTCGATAAGTCGAACCCCGATAAGTCGAAAACCTTGATAAGTCGAAAAAAATTCCGTCCCCTTGCGAAAACCTCGATTACTCGAAAAAAAAACTATAGATAACTCGAACATTCTGTGCTCCAAATATGACGGATAATGACAGATAATTTTATAAACATTTGTCTAATCTGCTTGTCCGTTCCGATAATTTTATCTAAGCAACAGCAGCCCTCATATTGCTAAGGACATTCACCGAACAATTGAGTAATGTGGACGATAAAGTGTACTCTGCTTTAAATGTAATAGAAAATACAGTTGATAATAGCAAATCTCAAATTTTAAGTCAAAGTAAAATAATTAACTATCTTTTATAAAGTTGCAACACATGTTTTATTATATTTTTTTGTAATAATTTTTTTATTTAAATAATCTATGTAATCACATTTTTTTACATTGTATATACATATATTATACTAGGTACATAATAATTAAAAGCTTTAATACATACATACATTTTTAAAACTCTTTAAGTCGAATTTTTTTTCTAAAATCTTGATAACTCGAAAACCTTAGTAAGTCGAAAACCTTGATAAGTCGAAAAAAATGCATTTCCCTTAAATTTCGACTTATCGAGGTTCCACTGTACCTAAGAAGTATACTTCTTATACATATATAAAAATGTTACTAATTTACACGTCGGTAGTTAAGACTAGGTATATGATGTAGTATAAAATGAACAAATATAAAGTGACAAAATAATATTAAATTATGTATGAACGTTGCAAATAAAAACTGAAGACTACCTATATAAAAATTTTACTTTTGATAAGATAAATCAGAAAATTATCGTTAACTCTAAACACTGATAAAATATACTCAATATTTTCACAAAACAAGTGGATTGTGGCGACTCGGCACCACAGAACGCCCCTCCGCAGTTGGTTTTATCGTTAGCTTTCGTTAGCCTTTGCTCTCTTCTCTAATCTCTAATTACCGCGATACGAAACACATACGCACACGACAATTCGTGTGACGCCATCTTTCCACATTTACCGAACTATAAACGACTCTAAACGCGATCGTAAAAACATAACCACGTGAACCGTACTAACTGAATTATTCTTATGTAGTATTTTTTTTTATTCTCGTCAATAAATCTTAACTTTTCGTATAATCAACCTTAGTCTACATTTATTGCGAATTGATACTCACGCCGCGAGTATAGTTGCAGGTGGCCTTTGATAACAGCCTAACATCCACAGAATTAATGATAATAGAATTTACTGATTCAGTTTCCTCAGTCTTACCATAATTGGAAGTATAAAATATCTTTACTTTAACAACTAATTCTGCTCTCCCCTACACATATTTGGCAAAATTACCCCTTTTTAATTTTTTGAATATTATAACCAACTGAATTTCTGAAAATAATTTAAACGTAGATAACTTTTTTCTTATTTTAAATTTTTATTTTGTAAAGTGTTACATACAGGCTGCCAGCTATCGGGATGAATTTAAATAAATGGTTGAAGAAAATTTCAACAATGAATTATTATAATAATTCCATCTTTGGTGGTTAACCTTTTTCACTATTATATCTGATTTATCCAAAAAAGTCTGCCTATCGCTGTATACACTTTTTAAGGTCAGGTTGTTGGATAATTACTTACCTGGAATGTCCCATTATCAAAAAATCGCAATGTTATTAATATTTGTATTGATGATGGTATAGCATAATTTCTTCTTGTGTCATGTTGAATATTTTCAGTGATAAAATGCATCAATTAACCAAACATAATTTTGGAAAGACTAAAAAGGCTTATTTATTAGGTGTATAACTCATAGATATTAGTTTTATATAGATAGGTACCGAAATCTGTGACTGAATTCTATATCATCAAAATAAGTCAGTGGATCAGATCTATTTCAAAACACGTTTGGGTTGGTAAACGTATCAATACATTTAAGTGCATTTCAATACATTTACATCTTCACTCTCTTTAATAAAAAATGAAATAATATGTTATCATAAAATGTATAAAATGTTGGTAAATTAATTACTGATAAGCCATTTTAACAAGTCTTTAAAATTTAGCGATCCAATATCGGGTGATTAACTAATTGAATGGGCTCTTAAATATTTAAATAATGTTTATGCAACGAAATTTGTTTAGTGAGTAATTAAAACGGCTAACGGCTAACGGTTAAACATTTAAAGATCTTTTATGCAACCATAAATTGAAAAATAAATTCAACATTATACCTTAATTAGATATTACAATTGGCATAACTCGATGAATAGTTTTAAAAATATTATAATATTGAGTAAAAGTCTGTTTATATGTTTTATTCTTGTCAACTTTAATTAAAGTGTTAATTTTTAACGATGGAGTCTCCAGCACTGACGTAGAATAGACTCATGGTGTTAGTCCCGCGTTTTGTTTAGAGCAACTCATGTGCAAGACCAAATTTCCCTGATGCAATATTCCTTTTCTTTTTCCAAAATCCATCGCAAACCTTGTACGGTTTTCGATTTCCTTAGACCAAATGTTTTCTATCGGATCTGTAACATATTATACATGAAGTTGCCTAATGTTTGATTAACGCATTGATTCATGCAAAAATATTTTAGTTTTAATCACAAATTGTGTATACTAATTTATATTAATAACAGTATCTCTTTATTTTGATAATCGTAGGTATTCTATTTCAAATAGGAAATTTGGTGAATGGCTTTTAATAATAAAAATTAAAAATATATATTAGTTCTCAGTAATGGATAATTGAACAGGGCTTAAAGTGGGAAAAAATTCCAGAGGGGACTAATGTCTCCATATAGTTTTAAGCGTTCCATACATGATTTTATGTATGATGTTTAATGTATAGAATCCTAATTTGTTAAAGGGGACGCTTTTTAACCGCCGTCCCCGGTAGGGGGACTAAGCCCCCCTGCGTTCCCCCTCACTTTAACCCCAGTAATTGAATGATGACATTGTGTCATATAGTTGAACAGACTTGACGTATAGTAAAACGTATTATTATTTTTATCGATATTTACCAATGTACTGCAAAGCTATCACATTACGCCACACTGATAGCTTTCTCGCGGACTTTCCGTGCCTGACGATCGCCAATACGGGACGTCTTGGCCTGTACCTAGCGATTAACTGAGCTAACAGCCCGGACGTGGTGATCACAATAATCGCGGCTGCATGACATTTAAACGATACCTCAACACACCCTATGCTAACCGCATGGGCAGGATCGATTTTTGGTTTGGACTGAAAGCACAGCATAGAATAACATAAATATATAATCCGTCAATATATCATGGTGTTTCCGTGTTTTTAAGGTATCGTAATATTAGATACGTACACAAAACCAATCATTTATTTCGTTTATTGTAAGGGGCTATTTTATAAGACGTCTGAAAAACGTTCTTTCATAAATTATAAGTCAAAAAAGCGTTTGAACAGTTGTGTATTTTGTATTAATATAACATTATTAGATGAACTGTCACAGCTTCGCCCGTGATTGGTTGTTTATTTTGCCTCCGGACAATGGGGATGTAGGTATAATTTTTTATTCAAATTTTATCGTTTAATGTAATCGGCAAGTAAATATAAAAATGGTTAACGAAACTGTATTAAAATGTTTCTAACACTATTAATAATAAATATATTTTTATTAAAAATAGCTGATCCCGTGCACTTCGTTGCCCGTTAAATGTACCAACTCTATATGACTCAAATTTTGTTCAATTTGTTATTTAATATTTGGTGTATGGTGCTTAACTTTTCCTTTGCCCGGAATAAAAATTCTGATTCACAGCAGTATATTATCATGTAGCAATCTACCTGCGGTAGATCGCAAACCCCGTGCTGTTTCTTCATAAGTGTATGATTTAACTCTAAAGTATCAAAGTTATACCAAGTTTGTCATTTTTACTTAATTCCACCTACGGTGGATTAATATAATCAATTAATATAAAATCCTAATCCAACCTAACCGTACTAAAATCCCATGAATAAAGAAAAAACAAATTTCACTATTTTTAAATTAATCTATCTTCTTCCCAGAGGTCTAATCTACACACAAACATTCATTTATATACATATAAAACGAAAAATAATAATACAAATCTGCAAACATGCCCGATTAACTAATAGCAATCAATGTATTATAATACACTATTATTATTATAATCTGCAACAATTAACTACATTTTTTATTATTTAGTTTATTTTTTTGGTTACAGATGGCGCCACCTAACCTAACCATATTTCCTACTTTACTGGTAGATTTTCCTAAACAAAAGTGGTACTAAAACCTTAAGCTGACTGTCAGGTATCACAGTACACAATTTTAGCCAATTCGGTTCAGTAGTTTTCTCGGTTAGCGTGGTCGTAGAAAATACCTTACAATTTTAGATAGTAGAATAGATATAGATAGATAGATTATTATGGAATCATGCTCATCGTTGTGATAATCATAGTAACCTATAATTTAGCGTTCTAGTATAGGTTAGATTTAATCATTTTACATTCTGAGCGGAGCGAGGAAGCTAGGGGTTTTATAATTGTGTTTATTTTTTTTATTATGTATACACAATTTCTACTAGAAGGAGTACTTAGATTTCAACACATAGCACTTTATCTTTTAGAAAATTGGATTAAGATGGTACTTTAGGGGCGTAGAACACTTCTTCCAAAATGTAATATTATTGATGACATGTTGGAAGAACATTGTTGCCAAACATCAAAAAATAATAAATAAAATTATTCAGTTGTACCAACGTGGCTTTTATATATTATTAACATTTATACGTATAGCATATACTGTAAATACTAAATATAAGGTTTATACCTAATAGTAAGTGTATAATATAATGCAAATTAAATTGTTTTTAAATATAGTATATTAACAAGTCAAAATAATCAAAAATTTTTTAATTCACTGTTTAGATAATAGCCGCCTGATACTTGGTGCTATATACAGGATGTAACAGGAAGGCCTGACAAAAAAAAAAAAAAAAATGACACTATTTAAATGGTTGAAAAAATTTGTTAAAATGATATGATTAGTATATATATATTATATATACTCATGTTAGCAAATTCCCAACTAAAATATTTTGAAAAAAAAATTTTACGTTCCAAATTAATTTTATCAAAAAAATATTGATATTTAAAAAAAATCTAAAAAATAAGCTACTTGACTAAAATAAATGTTTTTTTCATAAAAATTATTCTTATAATCAAATTCACAAATTTTCTATATTGAATTTATCAAAAAAAAAATTGTAATCAAAATTTAAATTTTAGATTCTGAAGGGTTTTGCAATGGTGTTTATTTATTTTATTTTTATCCTGTATACATAATGTCTACTAGAAAGAGTGCTTGGATTTAAACATATAGTATATCCATACATGCATATATCTTTTAATAAATTGGATCAAGAGGTCATTTTTTGATTTTCTCAATAGTTATTCAATGCCACGTAAAAAACACCGACAAATTACAAAAAAATGGGATTTTAATTTCTAACGCTTTATTTATCACCATAGAAACGAATGAAAATAAAAATAAAAATATCGATTTCAGTTATACACTATAAACGTTGCAAAATAAAAAACAGATTCATCTATCTTGGCCCATACTAATTAATATGAATAATTAATGATCGATTGTTAAAGCATCTATACTGAGAGCCCAATACCAGTTAGCATCTAGTATATTTAATTAATTGTTATTAATTGATTAATTCACTCACAAACCTTTTACCTGGATAAAAACAATACTACAAACAATTATCCATCGATCTGTCGGATAAAAATAAAAAACTTTAAAAGTATCAATAATAAATAATTCCGGATAACTTCCTCTCATTTTTTTAATATTAACTCACGTGTACCGTTGAAAAGAAGTTTCACTTCTCGCGTACTGGTACACACACACTATTTTATATTATACGTGTAACGCAAGTGAATATAAATTGTACATAAAAAAAAAAAAAATATTGAATAGAGCAAAAGTTATTTCATCTGTCAGGTCTTCTTGTTACACTCTGTATAATATGTATAAATTAATTTTGTGTCCGGAACTTGATGACTTAAAAATATTGAAATCATCAAAATTATTAATTAATCAAATCTTATGTATATCAAAATCTCGTGTCACGTCTATGTCCGGTATAAACTCCGAAACTACTGGACCAATATTGATAACATTTTTACAATATGTGTTATTTGGCCGAACCTAAAAGATAGGCTAATTTAAAAAGGGGGAGGACCAACCCCGAGAGGTGTTAAAACGGACATTTTGAGATTTTGGATAGAAATTTTTGTGTATAAATGGATGCCATGAGTGACGTCTTATAAAATGAAAATTAAAATCAAGAAATTTCAACACAGAATTATAGTGAATCATTTTAATTCGTTACCACGAGAACAAACAAACCATTTATTATATAATACATCGACTATTTGTTATTGTATACATAAACATATTCAATCAGTACTTATTATTATGATGCGTCTTTAAGCAATGATGGGTTAGGTTTATTAAGCTATATAATAATAATAAAAAAAAAATAATATTTGCTTTACTTTTTAAATATAAATTAAAATATATTATCCAACTATATAAATGTGAAATGATAATCCCTTTACAGGCTGAACTCTAGAACTACTTATCAGATCTTCTTGATTTTTTTTTTTTAAAAGAAAGTATTTCACGGAGAATGATTATATGAAAGAAAATTTTAGGAAAATCCACTGGTGTATAATATATTGGTTGCTATTGGTTAATTGGGCATGTTTGTTGATTTGTATTATTGTCTTTTGTCAATATACATAAAGATATATAATTATATATATTAATATATACAAGAAGATCTGATAAGTAGTTCCAGAGTTCAGTCTGTATTAATATATATATAAATTAATGTTTGTGGGTAGATTAGACCCAGGGCTGGATCAATTGGGGGGGGGGGGCTATAGCCCCGGGCCGCAAATTGAAAGGGGCCACAGTGTGTCAAATCATTTTTTTTCAAAACATTATCATAACTTATAAATTTAAATTTATGATATATGAAAATGGACTATGGACTTGGATACTTAATTAGTAATTATTTTGTAATTATAAAATAATATAAATAATACATTTCTAGTCAGTGTTATAAAATAACAATAAAATAAGTCCAAATATATAGAAATAAATAACTTAAATAATACATTTCTAGTGAGTGATACGTCATTTTCATAAAGAAGGGTTTTTAAGTGAAATAGTTTTAATGTATTGTAAACGGGTCATAATTTAATTTTTTAAGTTGTTTATTTGTTAATGGTAAAATTCTATTTTTTGAAATGCTTTCCTCTGTGATTTACAGGTATTAAATTATGACTTGACGTTATTTTTATGTACCTATATATCTGTTTTACATTGTTTTAGAATATTTAGAAATTGATGAATATTGGGATGCGATGTGTAGAAAAAAAAGAGTTAATTTTGAATGAATGCTTTCTTAAGTGTTTGTAGTACGCTGCATACCGTTGCTCATTTCAGCCCACATTGCTGGTGGAAAATGTGTACTTTTGAAAAAAAAAAAATCTCTAACGCTCGATATTATTGGCCAACATTTTGTGGAGATGCTATTTAAACTTATCAATAATACGGATTTCTTTATTTTTGTCCTTCAACATTTTGAATTTTCAATATAAACTATAAAGTATCTCTCTACTCTTAGGCGCTTGACGTACTAAATCACTAAGAGGTCGTAAATCGATAAGAGTATCAGCCTTAAGATAAATTCGTAAACTCATCAAGTAAAAACCAATTCGTGTTTAAATATAGCGCATAAATTTTATTGCACACCATATGGTCCATACGTGACAAATATTTTAGATTTAATATGTCAATTTATGTGTCACATTAACGCTTACCCACTGACTATATCGTACAATAGGACGCAATCGGAACACAGAAAAGAAAGGAAAAAAAAAGTTTATATGTGTCTGGGAGACTGGGACGCAATCATAGACCTTATTCTTATAGACGGAACATGTAGTAGTTACTCATGTTGACGATAAGCTGCGTCCCACGAAGCACCGAAGCACATCGCACATGCGCACTAGCGACGCACGATAAAAATCCATATCAATATATTGTACAAATATTGTACGATTGTTGTTATCATTCCACCTGTTGGCTGTTGTTTTATTTTTTGAACTTTTTGTCGTTTGATTTTTATATTTTAAAAAACGATTAAGATATCTTTTTGAGTCTTTTATTATAT